CGACTATCTTTTTAGGAATGCTATTTGCACAGAAAAAATCAGGCGTGGATCAAAAATTCATCCCATTTTATGAAGTTATCAGAGCAATAAAACGCAGACACAATTTAGACCACTGAGTTGTAGATAAAAAATAGCGATTTTTATCTGTAACATTTTTTAACGACAGTTTGAAAGGCTACTCTAGATTAACCAAATATCGTAACGCTTTGATAGTAAGTTTCCAAATGAGTATGACCAGGAAAGTAAAAAACTTAAGTCTTTTGAGTTCGAATTGAAGATATGATTTATATCAATATATAAAACCAAGAATAGCCAGTTGCTGCGCGGAAAGCATTTAAAAAAAAAACAAAAAAATTTTTTTTTTGCAAAACTGTCGTTTTTTGTGCGAGGCGAATGAGACTAAAAATTTTAATATTGATAAGGCATAATTGACAGCATTTATTATCAAAAAACGAAAAATCCTATCTTTTTTTTCTTTAAAAAGACCTACTTGACCGCCTTAGTTGCTTGAAATTTTTTTAATAACCAAATTTTTCGAACGAGTTTTTGTCTATTCTGAGAAAAGTGTTGTCGACGGAAAGAAGTTTCATATAATATATCACTTTTTGTGGCACCTAAATCTGAGTGGAAAAAAGTAGAAATTTTATTGAACCACGTGTAGACATTGTTCTTATTGTTCCTCTCCATTTGTTGTAGGCATTTGCCGTGTAAGTAGCGTTAATCGTTTTAACTTCAGTAACCCAAAAAAAATTTTAGAAATCCGAAACACGACAGATATTTTTGATAGAAAATGCTGGTTGCCTGATACTATGCCATGCAAGTGTTATTTGTAGATTTCCAAATTGCTTGAAAAATTTTGTGCTTAGTAGCTTTTGTATGAAACTTTCATAAAAAGGTTATACTAACCTATCTTGAATTTTACGTATTTTGTGAATATTTTTACCGTTTTGTGAGTTGAGAGAAACGATTGGTGAAATCAACTTCAAGAGTTTGAGAATAATCTGTAAATATTACGAGTTCAAACTATTCTCAGCCTGCACACACGAAAAAGGCTTAAAATTAGTTGCTTCGTTTCTTTTTTTTACACTAGGGAGCGTTAGTGCATTAAAAAGAACCTTCTTTTTTTTCTAAGCTAACTAGCAAATAAAAGTTTATTAATTGGTGGCAAAGTGTTCATTATTTTGTGGTATTTCAGCCATAATCACGGTCTGTAGCATTGTGAATTTCATAGCATCTGTTATCTCCTTTTTTAGGCTAGTGTTTGTGATTAATTAAGCGTCTGTGGCTGAGTGGTTAGTGCGTTAGACTTATTTTCTCTAGGTCGCAGTAAGTCGCCGATCGAATCTGAGACCTAGCCGAAGTTTTATTAAATCGAGGCTTATTTCTACCTCTTCTTTTTGCTTTTTATAGAACTGATTTTTGTCGAGTGTCCGCTAGTGTTTGCGAAAGACAACTTCGTCTCTGTGTAAAAGGAAGGCAAACTTTTCTATTGAACTGCAAAAATAAAAGGTCGGAAATTGAATTTAATCATCAGGTTTCCCAGTGATATCAAATTTCAACCTATTGATCCAGTTTTTTCAAATTAGGTTAATCAATATTTTAGAACGTCGCATTTTAAATCAGTCCATACAATACGTCTTTATCAACTTCAGTTGATTATAAATTGCTCAAAAGACTGTTTTAGAGCCTTTCTAAATACCGACTTTAAAATTGAGTCTTAAAGCTGAAATGAAAAGCTTAGAGTTAAGCGATAGTTTTCGATTATTTAGGTAGTTCAAGTAGTTTCAGCCAATCTCGAATAAAAATATCGGGATCAAAAACTAATTAAACCTAGAACCGTCATACATTAAGGGGGAAATTTTGTTCTGAAAATGGTCAAAAAAAAGATTTCTTCGCCCAAATGATTGAAACTAGATAGGTGCGTTCTGAGCATAATTTAGATAACTTACCTCGTTATAGAGACTATAGAATCTCACATTGTTTTGATTTAGTAAGTTGAAGCCAACAAAAAACAGCTCATTTAGTGAAAAAAATTAGCATGCCAGCTTATGCCTCTTTTGCAGTTCCCCGACATGCGAATTTTTACAAAAAAAAAGTTTGCTTACCTTGTGCGATTGTTATGAGAATTGACCTGCAAGCTTATTAGGCCACGACAAACAGATTTAATTTTATACTTTACCTTGTAAAACCACTTTTTACAAAATTTTAATTGATGGCCAGGATAGGTGTGTTTTTATGTTTTATGGGGGAAGGGGTTAAGAAAAAAATCCCACACTTTTGCTGCACTGCATGTATGCATTTATTTTAACAAGAGTTACTAACGTTGCACAAAATAAGTATTTAAGTCGTGTATATCAATTGGTATTTGATTATTATATAAAAGTCAATAAAAGAAAAAATCTGCTTCTGTATCAGAGCAGAGCCCTGAATGTTCCGACTGACCTTTAAAGGTCTCAAACAGCTCGGTTATATAAGATTTTGATAAACTATAAAATTGAATGTTTGTTTTTGTCCCCTAACAGCTAACAAAACTTTTTTGTGTCTTTTCACTTACGAGAGGAAATTTAGTTACAATCGGGAACTAGAAATTTTTGAGCGCAAGTTCACGCTGATTGGTGAATTTCTTGAACGATTTTATAAAACTACTTAGTTCATAGTAGGTAGTAATTAATTTTTCAAAATAAGCTGACTGAATAAATTTATACTTTTTTCGGATTAAATTTCGTTTTTCCTGTTTTTTGCAGTTAAATTTCAACTACGTTAACTATTACGGTTTTTTTGGCTTCAGGTTCAAAGAATGGATTTTTTTTCTGATTCGGACAGTTTTTCGACAATTTTTCTTTTCAAAGTAGTTTGTAAATCTATCCAAAGTAGTTGTGTGATTTGTAAATCTATCACGTATGGTTTTGAATGATTTTTTTTTGATGAGATGGTTGCGGCTTAGGTTATATTGGCATACACACCTCATGCAAAATTCAGAGGGCAAAATAATGCTTCACCCGAGTTGAGTTCACATTGAAAATTCGTAATGAAAAGGTGAAAAAAAGTATCAATCGCCATTGATGAAATATCGATGTTCATTCATTATCACAATAGCAAATTTTATCGATAGATTATAGCTAATTTGCCTAAATTTCAGCCATGTAACAGCGATTAAAAAACCCTATCACAATGAGCAAAATAACCGATTTACCGATTTAGCAAAAAAACCCTAAATTATACATGAATCAGCGTAATCAACGGTGGGACTTCAACCCGAGTAACTCATGATTTGATAAGCTTTGCCGAAAAGCTATTTTTCTAATGACCTTAATTTTTTTCTGCTTAACGGGGGTCGACCCAAGTGTTCTCGACTTAGTTGCTTTTCGGCAATTGGTTAACGCTGTTTACGACCAACCTTCGAGTCGAACGTATGAAACTTTTGTAGATGTTGTTTTTGTTGTATTTTATCAAAAAGTTTACCTAAAAAAATTCATATTTTTGTTGCTTTTTCTACGCACTTTCTTGTAATGGAATTTTTGTTGGCTGTTTTGTAATTTTTGCGACGCTCCGCTTCTCCTCTGTGTAAAATTCGAGTTGCATAGTGAATTAATGACCGAATAGTTTGCCTCAAACCAAATTGGAACGATTTTGAAGCGGGAAAATTTACCACGCTTTATTAATTGTTCCGACTTTCGATACGAAAGTAACGGAATATTTGTGCTCTGGGTGGGTTTTTTTTCTTCAGACAAATTTCACTTTTTAACTAGCCATTTTTGACGGAATTTTTTTATCCTTCGAAAGGTATTGCTGTCCTGAGCTCAAATTTGAAAAGATTTTTCACCTGTGATCATTTTTCGTAAAGTGTGACGGGGGTTTAAAGATAGCCACTTTGGCCAGTTTAGGGACAATTAAGGCGCGAAATATTTCGCGCTATTAACTCGTAAGCGAGATTTATTCCGTCTTAGAAATCGTTCCAAAATTGAAATGGTTCAAGGAAGCTTATATGCCATAATTGATTTGTTACAAGGAGCGAAATCTATCCTTTTGTACTTTATATGGCGTGTGGGGGGATGGTTTTCATTAAAAAAATTCAAATTTTAGAATTTTTTTTTCATTTTGTTTCATTTAATTTTTCAATGTTATTACTGCTCCATAAACCTTAAAAGGCAGTCGGAACATTCAGGGCTTCGCCCTGATACGAGCAGTCTTGTTCTTCAGCAGTATTTTCAAAATCAAACCGCGCATTAAAAGTCTAGTACATCGTTTCAATCGCCGAAATTGTTTTGGAGTAAAAAAACAATCCCAAACATGAATTCCGAATTGTCTTCAAAATTCGAAAAGAAATTAGTGGTCAGTGGCTGGGTTGTTGAACGAAGTGGCTAAACGCACTCTAGAAAAAGCCAACTCTGAAAAATGCGCTATTATCTTTGAGCTATTAATTTTTGGAATGAATTTTTACCGGTTTTATAAGAGTGATCCTGTAACAGTTATTGTTTTTTAAAAGAAAAATTTTTAATATTGTTCGCGGTTGTTGTTTTTCTGGCTGTTCGATTTTTCTGACTGATCGCCAAAAATTGGTGACGGCACGAAAATCGGAATTTTAAATCTACTTTAAAAAACATTTCATCTCAGTTTTTAATAGGTTTTACCAGGGATCTAGAATTTTCTCGAGAGAAAGATTCAAAAAACATAAAAATTTTTTTTTGGCCTATTCTAACAAAGGTTTTTGCGACGGAGTCAAGTTTTTTTTGAAAAAAGTCAAAATAACGTTTTTTGGACCTTTTTAAAAAATGTTTTGACCCAAAAGTGTGGGAAGAAGCGATCGAAACGCTGGGGCACATGGGGTCGAAACTTAGTAAGGGTGGAATCTCCGCCCCTGGAATGCATCAAAAGTTTTTTTTTCGTTTTCTTGATTCCGTTAGATTTTTCCAACTGTCAATGGGCGATATTCAAAGCTTTACTGTTTCTTCATTGATGTAAGTGGTGCATTGCTTCATTTCTTTGTAATTTTTGCACAGAAGCCAGTTGTCAAAAGTTGCAATCTCGTTGCACGGATGCTCAAAGTCTGGTGCAAGTACAAAGACACCTGAGGTTACATTAACGACCCTGAAAGAAGTAACACAAAAGACAACTACAGCTGTACCGACTACATCCGGACCTACATCTGGACCAACCACTTCGGGACCCACATCTGGACCTACATCCGGACCCACATCTGGACCTACACCCGGACCTACATCTGGACCAACCACATCAGGACCCACTACAACAGGACCAGTCACATCAGGACCCACATCTGGACCTACAACCGGACCCACATCTGGTCCTACACCCGGACCTACATCTGGACCTACACCCGGACCTACATCTGGACCTACATCCGGACCTACATCTGGACCAACCACATCAGGACCCACTACAACAGGACCAGTCACATCAGGACCCACATCTGGACCTACATCCGGACCCACATCTGGACCTACACCCGGACCCACCACATCTGGACCCACATCTGGACCTACACCCGGACCAACATCTGGACCAACCACATCAGGACCCACTACATCAGGACCAGTCACATCAGGACCCACATCTGGACCTACACCCGGTCCTACATCTGGACCAACCACATCAGGACCCACTACATCAGGACCCACTACATCAGGACCTACACCCGGACCTACATCTGGACCAACCACATCAGGACCCACTACATCCGGACCAGTCACATCTGGACCTACACCTGGACCCACATCTGGACCTACACCCGGACCTACATCTGGACCAACCACATCAGGACCCACTACAACAGGACCAGTCACATCTGGACCTACGCCCGGACCTACATCTGGACCAACCACATCAGGACCCACTACATCAGGACCAGTCACATCAGGACCCACATCTGGACCTACACCCGGACCTACATCTGGACCAACCACATCAGGACCTACTACATCAGGACCAGTCACATCTGGACCTACGCCCGGACCTACATCTGGACCAACCACATCTGGACCAACACCCGGACCTACATCTGGACCTACACCCGGACCTACATCTGGACCAACCACATCAGGACCCACTACTTCAGGACCAGTCACATCAGGACCCACATCTGGACCTACACCCGGACCTACATCTGGACCAACCACATCAGGACCCACTACATCCGGACTAGTCACATCAGGACCCACATCTGGACCAACCACATCTGGGCCTACACCCGGACCTACATCTGGACCAACCACATCTGGACCTACACCAGGACCTACATCTGGACCTACACCCGGACCTACATCTGGACCAACCACATCAGGACCCACTACATCAGGACCAGTCACATCAGGACCCACATCTGGACCTACGCCCGGACCTACATCTGGACCAACCACATCAGGACCCACTACATCAGGACCAGTCACATCTGGACCTACACCCGGACCTACATCTGGACCAACCACATCAGGACCCACTACATCAGGACCCACATCTGGACCTACACCCGGACCTACATCTGAACCAACCACATCTGGACCTAGACCCGGACCTACATCTGGACCTACATCTGGACCTACACCCGGACCTACATCTGGACCAACCACATCAGGACCAACTACATCAGGACCAGTCACATCAGGACCTACACCCGGACCTACGTCTGGACCAACCACATCAGGACCCACTACATCGGGACCAGTCACATCAGGACCCACATCTGGACCTACACCCGGACCTACATCTGGACCAACCACATCTGGACCTACACCCGGACCTACATCTGGACCCACATCTGGACCTACACCCGGACCTACATCTGGACCTACACCCGGACCTACATCTGGACCAACCACATCAGGACCAGTCACATCAGGACCCACATCTGGACCTACGCCCGGACCTACATCTGGACCAACCACATCAGGACCCACTACTTCAGGACCAGTCACATCAGGACCCACATCTGGACCTACACCCGGACCTACATCTGGACCCACATCTGGACCTACATCTGGACCTACACCCGGACCTACATCTGGACCAACCACATCAGGACCAGTCACATCAGGACCCACATCTGGACCTACGCCCGGACCTACATCTGGACCAACCACATCAGGACCCACTACTTCAGGACCAGTCACATCAGGACCCACATCTGGACCTACACCCGGACCTACATCTGGACCCTCATCTGGACCTACACCCGGACCTACATCTGGACCTACACCCGGACCTACATCTGGACCAACCACATCAGGACCCACTACATCAGGACCAGTCACATCAGGACCCACATCTGGACCTACGCCCGGACCTACATCTGGACCAACCACATCAGGACCCACTACATCAGGACCAGTCACATCAGGACCCACATCTGGACCTACACCCGGACCTACATCTGGACCAACCACATCAGGACCCACTACATCAGGACCCACTACATCAGGACCCACATCTGGACCTACACCCGGACCTACATCTGAACCAACCACATCTGGACATAGACCCGGACCTACATCTGGACCTACATCTGGACCTACACCCGGACCTACATCTGGACCAACCACATCAGGACCAACTACATCAGGACCAGTCACATCAGGACCCACATCTGGACCTACACCCGGACCTACGTCTGGACCAACCACATCAGGACCCACTACATCGGGACCAGTCACATCAGGACCCACATCTGGACCTACACCCGGACCTACATCTGGACCGACCACATCTGGACCTACACCCGGACCTACATCTGGACCCACATCTGGACCTACACCCGGACCTACATCTGGACCTACACCCGGACCTACATCTGGACCAACCACATCAGGACCAGTCACATCAGGACCCACATCTGGACCTACGCCCGGACCTACATCTGGACCAACCACATCAGGACCCACTACTTCAGGACCAGTCACATCAGGACCCACATCTGGACCTACACCCGGACCTACATCTGGACCCACATCTGGACCTACACCCGGACCTACATCTGGACCTACACCCGGACCTACATCTGGACCTACACCCGGACCTACATCTGGACCAACCACATCAGGACCCACTACATCAGGACCCACTACATCAGGACCCACATCTGGACCTACACCCGGACCTACATCTGAACCAACCACATCTGGACCTAGACCCGGACCTACATCTGGACCTACATCTGGACCTACACCCGGACCTACATCTGGACCAACCACATCAGGACCAACTACATCAGGACCAGTCACATCAGGACCCACATCTGGACCTACACCCGGACCTACGTCTGGACCAACCACATCAGGACCCACTACATCGGGACCAGTCACGTCAGGACCCACATCTGGACCTACACCCGGACCTACATCTGGACCAACCACATCTGGACCTACACCCGGACCTACATCTGGACCCACATCTGGACCTACACCCGGACCTACATCTGGACCTACATCTGGACCAACCACATCAGGACCAGTCACATCAGGACCCACATCTGGACCTACGCCCGGACCTACATCTGGACCAACCACATCAGGACCCACTACTTCAGGACCAGTCACATCAGGACCCACATCTGGACCTACACCCGGACCTACATCTGGACCCACATCTGGACCTACACCCGGACCTACATCTGGACCTACACCCGGACCTACATCTGGACCAACCACATCAGGACCAGTCACATCAGGACCCACATCTGGACCTACGCCCGGACCTACATCTGGACCAACCACATCAGGACCCACTACTTCAGGACCAGTCACATCAGGACCCACATCTGGACCTACACCCGGACCTACATCTGGACCCACATCTGGACCTACACCCGGACCTACATCTGGACCTACACCCGGACCTACATCTGGACCTACACCCGGACCTACATCTGGACCTACATCTGGACCAACCACATCAGGACCCACTACATCAGGACCAGTCACATCAGGACCCACATCTGGACCTACGCCCGGACCTACATCTGGACCAACCACATCAGGACCCACTACATCAAGACCAGTCACATCAGGACCCACATCTGGACCTACGCCCGGACCTACATCTGGACCAACCACATCTGGACCTACACCAGGACCTACACCCGGACGTACATCTGGACCAACCACATCAGGACCAGTCACATCTGGACCTACATCTGGACCAACCACATCAGGAACCACTACATCAGGACCAGTCACATCTGGACCTACGCCCGGACCTACATCTGGACCAACCACATCTGGACCTACACCCGGACCTACATCTGGACCAACCACATCAGGACCCACTACATCAGGACCAGTCACATCAGGACCTACGCCTGGACCTACATCTGCTCCAACCACATCAGGACCCACTACATCAGGACCAGTCACATCTGGACCTACATCTGGACCAACCACATCAGGACCCACTACATCCGGACCAGTCACATCAGGACCCACATCTGGACCTACACCCGGACCTACATCTGGAGCGACCACATCTGGACCTACACCCGGACCTACATCTGGACCTACACCCGGACCTACATCTGGACCAACCACATCAGGACCAACTACATCAGGACCAGTCACATCTGGACCTACACCCGGACCTACATCTGGACCAACCACATCTGGACCTACACCCGGACCTACATCTGGACCTACACCCGGACCGACATCTGGACCAACCACATCAGGACCCACTACATCAGGACCAGTCACATCAGGACCCACATCTGGACCTACACCCGGACCTACATCTGGACCAACCACATCTAGACCTACACCCGGACCTACATCTGGACCCACATCTGGACCTACAACCGGACCTACATCTGGACCAACCACATCAGGACCCACTACATCAGGACCAGTCACATCAGGACCCACATCTGGACCTACACCCGGACCTACATCTGGACCAACCACATCAGGACCAGTCACATCAGGACCCACATCTGGACCTACACCCGGACCTACATCTGGACCAACCACATCAGGACCCACTACATCCGGACCAGTCACATCAGGACCCACATCTGGACCTACACCCGGACCTACATCTGGACCAACCACATCTGGACCTACACCCGGACCTACATCTGGACCAACCACATCAGGTCCCACTACATCCGGACCAGTCACATCAGGACCCACATCTGGACCTACACCCGGACCTACATCTGGAGCAACCGCATCTGGACCTACACCCGGACCTACATCTGGACCTACACCCGGACCTACATCTGGACCAACCACATCAGGACCAACTACATCTGGACCTACACCCGGACCTACCTCTGGACCCACATCTGGACCTACACCCGGACCTACATCTGGACCTACACCCGGACCTACATCTGGACCAACCACATCAGGAACCACTACATCAGGACCAGTCACATCAGGACCCACATCTGGACCTACACCCGGACCTACATCTGGACCTACACCCGGACCTACATCTGGACCTACACCCGGACCTACATCTGGACCTACACCCGGACCTACATCTGGACCAACCACATCAGGACCCACTACATCAGGACCAGTCACATCAGGACCCACATCTGGACCTACACCCGGACCTACATCTGGACCTACACCCGGACCTACATCTGGACCCACATCTGGACCTACACCCGGACCTACATCTGGACCAACCACATCAGGACCCACTACATCAGGACCAGTCACATCAGGACCCACATCTGGACCTACACCGGGACCTACATCTGGACCAACCACATCAGGACCCACTACATCCGGACCCGTCACATCAGGACCCACATCTGGACCTACACCCGGACCTACACCCGGACCTACATCTGGACCTACACCCGGACCTACATCTGGACCTACACCCGGACCTACATCTGGACCAACAACATCTGGACCAACAACATCAGGACCCACTACATCAGGACCAGTCACATCAGGACCCACATCTGGACCTACACCCGGACCCACATCTGGACCAACCACATCTGGACCTACACCCGGACCTACATCTGGACCCACATCTGGACCTACACCCGGACCTACATCTGGACCTACACCCGGACCTACATCTGGACCCACATCTGGACCTACACCCGGACCTACATCTGGACCTACACCCGGACCTACATCTGGACCTACACCCGGACCTACATCTGGACCTACACCCGGACCTACATCTGGACCTACACCCGGACCTACATCAGGACCTACACCCGGACCTACGTCTGGACCAACCACATCAGGACCCACTACATCGGGACCAGTCACATCAGGACCCACATCTGGACCTACACCCGGACCTACATCTGGACCTACATCTGGACCTACACCCGGACCTACATCTGGACCCACATCTGGACCTACACCCGGACCTACATCTGGACCAACCACATCAGGACCCACATCTGGACCTACGCCCGGACCTACATCTGGACCAACCACATCAGGACCCACTACATCAGGACCAGTCACATCAGGACCCACATCTGGACCTACGCCCGGACCTACGTCTGGACCAACCACATCAGGACCAGTCACATCAGGACCCACATCTGGACCTACACCCGGACCCACATCTGGACCAACCACATCTGGACCTACACCCGGACCTACATCTGGACCCACATCTGGACCTACACCCGGACCTACATCTGGACCTACACCCGGACCTACATCTGGACCCACATCTGGACCTACACCCGGACCTACATCTGGACCTACACCCGAACCTACATCTGGACCTACATCTGGACCTACACCCGGACCTACATCTGGACCTACACCCGGACCTACATCTGGACCTACATCTGGACCTACACCCGGACCTACATCAGGACCTACGTCTGGACCAACCACATCAGGACCCACTACATCGGGACCAGTCACATCAGGACCCACATCTGGACCTACACCCGGACCTACATCTGGACCTACATCTGGACCTACATCTGGACCTACATCTGGACCTACACCCGGACCTACATCAGGACCTACGTCTGGACCAACCACATCAGGACCCACTACATCGGGACCAGTCACATCAGGACCCACATCTGGACCTACACCCGGACCTACATCTGGACCTACATCTGGACCTACACCCGGACCTACATCTGGACCAACCACATCAGGACCCACATATGGACCTACGCCCGGACCTACATCTGGACCAACCACATCAGGACCCACTACATCAGGACCAGTCACATCAGGACCCACATCTGGACCTACGCCCGGACCTACGTCTGGACCAACCACATCAGGACCAGTCACATCAGGACCCACATCTGGACCTACGCCCGGACCTACATCTGGACCAACCACATCAGGACCCACTACATCAGGACCAGTCACATCAGGACCCACATCTGGACCTACGCCCGGGCCTACATCTGGACCAACCACACCCGGACCTACACCCGGATCTACATCTGGACCAACCACATCAGGACCCACTACATCAGGACCAGTCACATCAGGACCCACATCTGGACCTACACCCGGACCTACATCTGGACCAACCACATCAGGACCTACTACATCAGGACCAGTCACATCTGGACCTACGCCCGGACCTACATCTGGACCAACACCCGGACCTACATCTGGACCTACGCCCGGACCTACATCAGGACCAACCTCATCAGGACCCACTACATCAGGACCCACATCTGGACCTACACCCGGACCTACATCTGGACCAACCACATCAGGACCCACTACATCCGGACCAGTCACATCAGGACCCACATCTGGACCTACACCCGGACCTACATCTGGACCTACACCCGGACCTACATCTGGACCTACACCCGGACCTACATCTGGACCTACACCCGGACCTACATCTGGACCTACACCCGGACCTACATCTGGACCTACACCCGGACCTACATCTGGACCAACCACATCAGGACCCACTACATCAGGACCAGTCACATCAGGACCCACATCTGGACCTACGCCCGGACCTACATCTGGACCAACCACATCAGGGCCCACTACATCAGGACCAGTCACATCAGGAACCACATCTGGACCTACGCCCGGACCTACATCTGGACCAACCACACCCGGACCTACACCCGGATCTACATCTGGACCAACCACATCAGGACCCACTACATCAGGACCAGTCACATCAGGACCCACATCTGGACCTACACCCGGACCTACATCTGGACCAACCACATCAGGACCTACTACATCAGGACCAGTCACATCTGGACCTACGCCCGGACCTACATCTGGACCAACCACATCTGGACCAACACCCGGACCTACATCTGGACCTACACCCGGACCTACATCTGGACCAACCACATCAAGACCCACTACATCAGGACCAGTCACATCTCGACCTACGCCCGGACCTACATCTGGACCAACCACATCAGGACCCACTACATCAGGACCAGTCACATCAGGACCCACATCTGCACCTACGCCCGGACCTACATCTGGACCAACCACATCTGGACCTACACCCGGACCTACATCTGGACCTACACCCGGACCTACATCTGGACCTACACCCGGGCCCACTACATCAGGACCAGTCACATCTGGACCTACCACCTCTGTCCCAACTACATCTGGACCTTCAGTTCCTCCGACAACTTCTGGACCTTCAGTTCCTCCAACCACATCTGGACCGTCAGTTCCTCCAACCACCTCTGGACCTTCAGTTCCTCCAACCACGTCTGGACCATCAGTTCCGCCAACCACTTCTGGACCTTCTGTTCCTCCAACCACTTCTGGACCTTCTGTTCCTCCAACCACATCTGGACCTTCAGTTCCTCCAACCACATCTGGACCTTCAGTTCCTCCAACCACATCTGGACCTACAGTTCCTCCAACCACATCTGGACCTTCAGTTCCTCCAACTACATCTGGGCCTTCAGTTCCTCCAACCACATCTGGACCTTCAGTTCCTCCAACCACATCTGGACCTTCAGTTCCTCCAACCACATCTGGACCTTCAGTTCCTCCAACCACATCTGGACCTTCAGTTCCTCCAACCACATCTGGACCTACAGTTCCTCCAACCACATCTGGACCTCCAGTTCCTCCAACCACATCTGGACCTTCAGTTCCTCCAACCACATCTGGACCTTCAGCTCCTCCAACCACATCTGGACCTTCAGTTCCTCCAACTACTTCTGGACCTTCAGTTCCTCCAACCACCTCTGGACCTTCATTCCCTCCAACCACCTCTGGACCTTCAGTTCCTCCAACCACCTCTGGACCTTCAGTTCCTCCAACCACCTCTGGACCGTCATTCCCTCCAACCACCTCTGGACCTTCATTCCCTCCAACCACCTCTGGACCTTCATTCCCTCCAACCACCTCTGGACCTTCATTCCCTCCAACTACCTCTGGACCTTCATTCCCTCCAACCACCTCTGGACCTTCAGTTCCTCCAACCACCACTGCTGCTCCTATAACAAAGCCTGCATCTAAAATTACCACTACCGTTTTCTCATCAACGACCTCTGCGGTAAATTTTCCTAAATTTTATAGTGTTCCGATAAACAAAAAAGTGTTAACTGCAGTTCTCCTCCTAATCATTTGAAAATATCAATGGTTACATGGTCACAGCTGAGCAAAAGCTAACTGATTGTTTAGAAGACCCAGGGATCATGTACCCCGCTTAACTAATTTTTTCGTGCTAATATGACAAGAAATTTATATTTTTTTTATCTTATCATGATTTTATTTCTAAAATAAAGTGATGAAATTGTTTTAACAGCCTACGGGTGAGTCATTTTTCAACGATAAAGCATGCAAGATTTTGAACCTTGTAACGAACTCCCGCCCCCTTTAGCAAAAGGGGAATAGTTATAATGATCGCACATGTGGAATATTGGTTGTGGATAATTAGACTTGCCGAAGGCAAGTGTACAAATATACGTGAACGGAGGAAAATATCATAAGAAAGGCTGATATCTAATCTTATATTTTAAATGAAAGCCGAAATGCGCTATGAAGGCAATGTTTAACTGAACGCAATATTTTAGTTTTCTCAATTGCAACGTTATAAAATTCGTTATGCTTAACGTTTAAGAGAAGGCCAGGAATGTTCTCGAACTGTCAAATTTTCTTAAGTCTGGAATTTTCTAGAATTATTTTTGAAAAAAAAATCCATTCTTTACACAAGATGAACTCAGTTCATTTACAAGGCTAGACAGTGCCTGTCCATTTTTCCGATGCTAGAAATACTAGCTGTTTGCAAACCGATTTGCGCTATGAAATGTTTTGAAATATATCAAAGTTCCATCGCTTGCATAGCTTGCTTAAAAAGTTGAAATATTTCAATTTATCTCATAGACCGAATCTTTTCGCAAAAGCTTTCGTTTTTAAGCAAAAAAACTTGCAAACATTTTGTAAGCAAGCTTTTCGCAAACCGATATGACCTTCGAAATAACTTGAAATATTTAAAAGTTCCCGAGCTTTAATAGCTCGCTTAGATAAACTTAAGTTTTTCGCTAAACGATTCGGTCAACGAAGTAATCTGAAATAATTTGAAATTTCATAGCTTTAAAAGCTTGCTTAGAAAAACTTCATTTTTTCCGCGAGTTGATTCGCTCTATGAAAAAACCTGAAATAATTCAATATTTCATCGCTTGAATAGCTTCCATAGAAAAACCTTAAGTTTTGCCATCTGATTTGCTTCTTGAAGCATTTTGAAATATTTTAAAGTTTCATAGCTTGAATAGCTTGCGTAGAAAACTTCATTTGTCGGGAAACGATTCGTTCTATGACAGGTTTACGATATTGCGCAACTTGAAATTATTCAAAGTTTCGTTGCTTGGATAGCTTGATCAGAACAACGACTAATATTCTAGCCTTTTGATTTTTGGAGGCGGGCTTGCTGGTGTAGGTCTAAATCTGTGTAAATCATCTGCAGAGCTAAAACTTAACTTTAATGATTAAAAATGCTAGCAAAGAGCTTAGATTAGCTATGAAACATTTCTTTTTGACGCATTCCGCCCAAAATAACAAATGTCCAAAAAAACTTAATACTCGAATCTGATTTTTTCAAATTGAACACGCCATGAAAACAAAGTTTGAACAATGTGCCCATTACAAAACAGATCCGCTGTCAGCAAATTCGATTTGAACAAGTAACTTGGTCCTTCCTCTTAAATTTTTTTTCTATTGCAGAATTATTTGTTCTGTTTATCTCGAACAGGGGAGATGTGCGTTGATCATTTTTCATTAATTAAAACAGTTATGGAGCAAAACAAACACTGAGAATATGGCTTTGAGGTTTATTTGTGTCAATTATTGGCTAGCTTATTTCGGCTAAAACGGTTTCAATGCAGATACAATATCTGCATTCGTTAATTCTGCTTCAATTTTGTGAAATTATTTTCATAAACAGATTTCGATAGTTTAACATATTAGCAATCGAAATAACGTGAAATTACGCTTATTCGCGTATTCAAAAATCTATAGAATTTATTTCTCCTGAGCTAATTAAATAAGTTAAAAACTGCTAAGCTTGTGAAAATATTACATTTCGGTTATCTGATACATAGGCTTACTGACCTAACGCCTGATAATGGTTTCTTACGAAAAGAGCTTCGGTTGCGGTAATCCTTAAATGTTTCTCTTTCGTTTGCCTCTTTATAGGAAATCATTTTGCTCTCTGGTGAACAGACGGTAGAGAAAGTTTAGCTACTCATTATTTAAAATATTACACATTAACCATCATAACCATTTGTTCGTTTTTATCAATAGTTTTTAACAATTTTGTCACAAATAATCTGCTTTTAAGAATCGCTGAACGCATTTCAAACTCCTATATAGGCAAGTCGTGATGATTTTTTTCATTTTTTAAGAAAAATCATGAAAATTGTTCAGGTTTAATTTTGATTTTTCGCGATTTGACTTTTGATTTCTTTCTAAGTACAGTTCAATTCCTCTGTAAAAGAAAGGCAAACGCCACTATCGAATAGCAAAAGTGTACAGGTCAAGAAAACGTGATCGACTTCTAGTTTCAAAGTGGATCTTAACTTGCTGATTTTCTTGCGGAATAAAAATATACCCTACTGATATGCCTTTCTTAAATTGTGTTGATTTTATCAATGATCATTTTAATTAGGTTGGCTCACTTAAGATTTTGAATGCGCACTATGTTACCAGTTTTTTGTAACGCTTTGATCAGGTGGCCAATAAATCTGGCCCAGAAATCATTTTAAGTCGAATTGAGGCAAGGTTTTTGGGTGTAACATCAAATTACAATACGCACGGTTTTTAGGGCTCGATGTTGCGTGTTAAAAAAACTGCGTTTTATATTTTTCCTTAAAAATTTTTCTGATTTACCAAAAACTTTGAAGGGGCAGTTGGAAAACCCGCGTTTTTGCCCTTTTTGCATGTCTTCTCAATCCTTATTTATTTAGCGGAGAACATGAATCGCTGGCGTACAAAGCATGAATTTGTTGTTTTGATTTTCGAAAGAAACAACGGAATGTTTGTTCTCAGGGTGATTTTTTTCCAGTTGAGTTTTAATTTTTAACAAAGAATTTTGTCGGATTTTAAGTGAAGAATGATTTTCATTATAAAAATCAAAAAATCTTCCAATTTGATTTTCTTAAATTTTGTTTTGCTAAAATTATCCTAAACACATGAAAGGCAGTCAGGATGAGCGATTTTTCCCCTTATACGAGATTTTTTGTTAATAGCAACACGATTTTTGGTGCTATTCGGTGGCGCTGCGTTAGAAGACAAACTGTTCATCTGTTTCTTTGTCCAGTTTGTTTCAAGTTATCAAAAACATTCGGCCTGCCGAGTTGAGTTACTTCCAATGTGGTTTTCTCCGTTTTGTCCGTTGAATGAATTTGTGTTTTTTTTCTATGAAGAAACAAAAAATTGAGCCAGTCAAATATGAAGTTTAGAGAAAACGCATTTTATGTTTTTTTACTTGAAATAGTACGACCATAACTTCACAGATTGAAACAAAAACAAATTATTATTTTTAAATCTATGTTTGGTTATAATGGTTAGTTTGTACTGTTCGATCTAATGAGCAGCTCAATATTTAACTACTTGGATTCAGAAACTTTAAAAAGTTTGGAAGAAGTAGTCAATGGAGAAGCATCAGGTTGTCATTCGAATTGTATTTAATCAACTGATGAGAAAATATATTCAAATTAAATAACTTAAAAAACATTTTTGTTTCCGAGAAGAAAGCGTAATTTGTAAATTTGTTTTTGAAAGAATAAGGGAAGATAGTATTTCTCCTGAAAACCAATTTAACTTTGACATACTCGAGCGTTTTAAATCAAAGTTTTCTATCTAATGATTTAAATCATATTTAGGCACGCAAAGTTAAATCCCTTTTCGTTGACAAATGAGGCGTTTTTGTCATGGAAAAAAAACATTCCATGGAAAAAATATTTGTTTTGCAAATGAGGCGTTTTTGTTTAGAAAAAAAACCTTTCATTGACAAAAAAAATGTGTTGACAAATGAGGTGTTTATTTGCGAATGTTTGTTGACACAAAAGTGTTCTACAAGAGTGTGTTTTGGTGTAGTGTGCGAGACAATGGACCCCCCTCTGCCATGTGGAAAAGTGCAGTCTATTATCGCCCCCAAAGTGTGCAACTTGACTGGCCTGATTGTGGAAGAGAACGGACGGTGTGAAAAGACATGCACTCCAGACAATGTTCACGTGTGCGTGGAACCATGCATCGACGAAGAACTCACATGTGAGTGTTTTCTTTAAAGTTGATTAGAAACCTCAGAAAAAATCATCTTTTGAAAAATCATGTTTGGAAAAATCATGTTTGGAAAAATCATGTTTGGAAAAATGGATTGGAAAAATAACGTTCATCAATGTTTATATGTCTTTTTTTGTCAATTAGAGCAAAAAACTTAAGTTAGCTAGTGTGCATTGAAGCGCCAACCATTTTTTAGTATCAACAAATCATTGATGTTTAAGTGAGCGAATAACTAAAAAGTGTTTACTATGCATTGACAAAAGGCAAATATGTGAGTATTTTCTTAAAATTTGAATTGAAAACTCAGAAAATAATCACGTTTTGACGAAGTACTCGCTTAAAAATGTTTTTTATCCCAAAATTAGAAAAAAATTTTTAAAAATTTCTGTAATGATGCCAGTTGAAAACGTTTTAAAAATTCTTGCTTTCTTGCTGCTGATTTAACTATTTCAATTTTTTTATCAAAATTTTGCTTTTGCTCCTAGAGTTCTGATAAGTGAAAAGCTCAAAACATCCTTCGTTTTGAGCGTAAAATAACTCGTTTCACGCTGAAAAAATATATAAATTTATAGCATATTCTTCAGAATATAATCTTCAAAACACAAGCGGATTTCGCATTTTTACTCGGCTGATATTGAAAAAGGCGGGCAATTTTTTACTGTCTTCCGATTTTAGCATCGAATCTGACAAAAAATGAAAACAACTTACATTGCTGTTTTTTTTGTTTCCTTGACTGATTTCTAACATGCTTTTAGGCTCTGGCGACATGACGACTGATGGTTGTGCGAACAAGTGTGGAACTACATGTTCCACGTACCATGGAAACTGTGTCGAGCCAGTTGGAGACCAGTGCATGCCAGGTTAGTCCAAATTTCCAACCCCCCCCCCCCTCCTCCCCACCCTTCACATTTCGATTTTTTCAAGGAATATTTTTTACGTCAGACCAGTCGAGTCTGAATTTCCCCACTCATTTTGCGAAGATGAAATTTTTTATTTTGGTATGCTTTTTAAAATTGGATTACAATATGGCATTTATGGCCCAAACAACTGCCTTCTGTTGATGTAATTTCTTGTGAGCCGCAATTAAATGAATAAATGAAATTCAATTATCGGTATTCCGCGTCGTGGCTTTTCTCCCTCCCCCCCCCCCCCCCCCCCCCACAGTTTTTTTATAAAGCGGAGCGCAATATGATACTATAAAACCAATGTTTTTCCAACCTAAGTCGTGCTCTACTTTTGGTGGCACTTTTGCAGCTCTTGCATGCAGCGTTGGCAATTTAATAGCATATGCGCTGATGTTCGATTACTAATAGGTTAACATTTTTAGCCTTTTTAATTCATCAACCGATCAGAAAAAAAACTATTTGCTTCATACAACAGTATAATAATACAATTCCTTAGAAATTTTCGAAATTAATCTGTTTCGCGAAGTTTTTAAATTTCATAAACATGCACAATTTGGTTTCGTACGTTCCAATTTAAACAATCAAAGTTAGCTTGCTTGCCTTAAGCTTATTGCTTTCCAAATTATTACATGGTAAGTTTGTGTTTTTGTTCATTTTGAAGCTTTTTTTTCGTTTTCTCGCTTGTATTTACGAAAATGCAGCTTCGCATCTGTGTTGAAGACTGTTTTAAAGTTGTCATAATAAAATAATTTTGTTCATAACGAACTAAATTAACTGTTTTTAAAGCATTTTTTCTTCATAAATTTTATTTTAAAAATTAGCGTTCTGCGATAGTAGCATGCATAAGTGCTATCAAAATATTTACAATGTGGGGGAAAAGGAAAAGAGCCACTCTGTGAATTAAGGACAACTATATTTCCTTTCATGGAGGATACAAGTTATTGCATCTACAATATGCCGTTATTTGGGCCATAAAATCCACATCAATGGGCGATTTTCATATTCGAAGGACCGAATGCGCGAATTTTTCAACCAATCAAGGCTGTTTAAACTGTCCAAAACTGGCTTATTTTATTGCTTATTTTTCTCGAATTTATGAATAAATAATTCTGATTGGCTGACAGCATTTTCGTGCATTCGGTTTGCTGCACGGTAAGGACTCGTGGTCAACTTGGGCTCCAATTTGACAAATCGAAAAAGAAAATAGTATTTTAGAAGAAACTTGAACAAGAAATGCGGCCAATTGAAAAATATAACGTTTTTTGAAAAATTGCTATCCCGGTCTAATTCTCACGTGCATCAAAATTTCGGGAACAGTTGCTTACCCGTAATTATTTTTGCATTTGGCAAACTATCTTCTGTGGAATTCGGTCTAATTTTTAACATCTTATTTTTTCAATGAATGTTTGAAAAAAAAACATTTTTTTTCCGTTGTATTTGTTTCGATTAATTGCTACTTTACATTATATTCAAAGCTTAGTTTCTATATGTCTAATGGATGTGTAATTGCTCTTCTGTGTCTCGTCTGTAGGATGTGTGTGTTCCGGTGGCAAAGTATACGACGAAGGACAGGGCAAATGTGTGGAGCCCACTGCGTGCAGCTGCTCATTCAACTCCGAATTCGATCTATCCTCTCACCTTGAACTCATCACAGACATCAGAGGTATACCTTAAAGGCTCACAATTTAATGCGATATTTTGAGATTTTCTGCGTGAAGAACAAATTAATTGTTCTGAAAACATATGATGTTCAGCATCATATAGAAACTTCACGCGTTCAGCCATAGTAGCGTGCATTTTTATTGTGAAAATGGAAAGTTTTCAGGTTTTGTTGAAATAATCTGAAACTCTTTTGTCGAGAGGAAGGAAACTTCAAGTGCAAAGTATCTTAAAGTATACCATAAAATAGAAATATAGTTCAAGAATGCCCCCAAAGATATATTACAGATAATATATATTTTTTCTTGTGGGGTCGAACTTTTTGAGATTAGTTGTACCTTTTTTGTGTTAATTTTTTCTCCAAATGGTTTTTTAGGTGTATTTTCCCCATTGCAAAAATAGAGTTTTAAAAACATCGAAGCGGTTTTAAACAAATCCGTTTGAAAAGTTTCTGAAGTTAAGAATCACCAGTGTGATTTCATTAAAACCAGAATTTGAAATTGGCAATATTAGTTCAATCACCAGGAGTTGAACTAATATTGTCGCCTTAGTTATTTCATTGTTTTTTTGTTGTATTTTGTTATGTCATTTATAAATCTTGTATAAATTAGTTCTTCTTTCAGGCCAATGGTACTCGCTCACTACAGAGCAGGGTCCATTCCAGATTGACAACTGCCCCTTCATCAACCCACAATCCGAGTTCGCTGATGAAGCATGCTCTATGTAAGTCACTGTTAAGACATGATTTGATCTGCGCCAGAGAAAAAAATACATCTGAAAAATAATTATGAACATAATAATACGAAAAAAAGTTAGTATTACAAAAGTTTTTTTAAAAAAACATAAATGAGGTCATATATCAAGTCAACTGCTGAGAATACAATATCGGCAATTTCAATTAAAATTATCAAAAATTAAAAATGAGTAAAAATAAGAAAAAGCATAAATAAGATACTTTTTTCTCAAAAACTTCTTGGATTTTTGTACACTCCATTTAGCGAACAGCTTGAAGACACCACTCAATAGACAGCTAACTGGGCTTTTTGGCGTTTTTCCTGTATTGGATATCTTGGGTACATTTTGTAATTTTTGAACAAAGTCTTCATTCTTGAAAACAAGTTTGTTTTTATTATTACAGTTGAAATAGTGATTCTACTGTAAAATTCAATGACTCAAATGGCGTAGATGACACTTTGGTGATGTTTCAGGTCTTGTAATGGTGGTATTTTGGACATCAGATACACGTGTGTCCGTGGCGGTGGATGTGTTGTCGGAAACAAGCAATACGTAAGAAGCCATTCACACTAAATGTTCTTTTGTTCAAATTATGATCTTTCAACTGCCATAAGAATACATAAAACAAACGCAATAAGAATTCAAAATGCCAAAGTTGAAACTTGGATGCTATCTTGACAGAAACGAAATGACTGAAATTGGTTTTAAATTTCCTTATTTTCTGAAGTTGAATTTAGTGAAGTTTGCAATATGAAAGATTTTTGTCAGCAAACATCAGCTTATCGCTTAATAAAAAACCAGTTCCTCCGAAACTAGTTATTAACTATGGCAAATTGCTGTTATAACTTCCAGTGCTCTGCATAGAAATTATGCATTGACGTTTTCGAATTTTAAGTTTGTTTGAACGAAAGCGATTTTTAATTTGAAAAGTTTAGTTTTGCTTCACTGAATTTACCATTTTCACTAGAAAAAAATTGACCAATGAAAGCAGATTTTTTTCTAAGTAATCACTTTTTATGTTAATTAACTCATTCGGAGGTGAAGCTGTGTTTTTTGTGAACTGTAAGCTGATTCTTCAAGATGGTTATTTTTTCAAGTTTTTTTGCAGTTGTGGAACCCACATGCAAATGGCAAAATTTTTGTGTTGCTCCGAAAGCATGAAAATTGTCAAACCCAGAATATTTTTTGAAATACATTAACAAAATTTATTCATGTGTGTAGTGGATTGCGCTATCGCAGAAACTCATTTTGTTAGCGGAGTCCGCAAATGGTTGCAGAATTTGCTTTAATTTGTGGAATCCACTTACAAAATGCGAATTCCGCGACACAACCAATGTTCCGACAAGTTTTACGCTTCATTTATTTGCTTGCGCTTTCTGCCGCAATTTGTTATGTTATTTCCATTTACAATTTGCGCCATGTTTGAAGACTTTTCTCTGGACTTTTCCAGAGTCCTTTACGCAACAAACTGTGCGCTTATCCAGAACACAGTTTAAAGTCGTAACGATGCAATTTTTAAATCATTTGTTAACAGTCGATGAACGTAGTTCAGACTCTTATATATGTCATGGCCATGATGATTTCTTTTTTTCAGGAACAGTCTTGGAGTTTGTTCACGTTCAAATTTGATTTTTCGCTGTTTGATTTTTATATTGTCTTTTTTTTGTTTTCTTTTTGTCTTCTTATTGTCTTTGTTTTTTGTCTTAATTTTATTGTCCTGTTGTTGTTTTCTAGGATGTGAATGACAAGATCAACTCGAGTGCCACTGAGTGTTACGAGTACATCTGTGCCGATGAACAGGGAACTATCGAGTACAGAAACACGAAGAGGAACGTCACTTGCGATGTAAGCAATTACATATCCCCAATTATTACTTAGTCAATCAAAATAAGCTAAATAAAAAACTTCGAAATGGTAATTTTATATGGTAATTTTTTGTTCGGTTTTTGCTAATGTAATTTTGAAAAACTATCAATATACACTGGTTTCGGAGCTAAAAAGTTTTTTGATTTCGTATCACCCCAGTTGACTGTGTTTTAGACATAATCGACAACTGTTGCGTTCGAAAAACTAATAACAAACAAAACATGAAAAAAAACTTTTTGGCCGATGTTTTTTTTTTAATTTTGAAAATTGAAATTTTTAGCTGTTTTTTTTCGAGTTTTTGGAAAACAATTTTGAAATGTTCAAATCACACTTGAAAAGACTTCTATCTGATATATCGCTCAATCCCTTGCGATGATTATTTGTGGTACCTGATTTTGTTTGGAAACTAAAAAAGAAAATCTAAAACACTCCCGAAGACAAAGTTCCTCATAACTTTCAGTGATCGGAACAAAAATTTGAATTTACTTGAAGTAGATTTACAATGTGAATAGTTATGTAATAAGCATTCTGTTTTGTCGTCCAGGAGGGAGAGATTATGGACGAAAGTGACCCGTGTGAGCCAGTGTGTGTTAAGCGCAAGTGTCAGTATCCCAAGACTGATGTGAGAGAGATCAAATACGAACGAGGCAAGTTCAATTAAGTTCAATCAATCTTTGTTCAGTTCAAGCTTTATTAAATTCAATCTTTATTATGTACAATCTTTTTTAAGTTCAATATTCATAAAGTTTAATCTTTATTAAGTTCAATCGAACTGTTGAAGTGTCAATGAAAGTAGTGAAGAGTCTTATTATTAAGTTCAATTGCTGCTCTTTGATAGAGATCAGCCGCTGATTTTATAAATTTCCTTTCTCTAAAATATGCAAAAATATAAACGAAAATGACAAAAAAACACTGATGAAATTCCCATAAATTTTGACTTGATGATTCTTAAACATTTTGTGCGAACTATAAAGAGATTTTCGGCAGAATTGTATTTCTGAAATAATAAAACGAACCGTTTTTTAGCACATAAAGATCATTTGAAGAACAATCCTCCATAGTTTACCTAGAATAACATTTTTTTGCAAATACAATGTATAATACAAAGTATGGTCTATTTATAGCTTGTTTTTTTAGCGTTTTTTCACTTTCCAGTCTGGGATAAGTTTACAGTCAAAACATTACCACATTGAAAATTCAAAAGATATATTACATGTAAGTTAACAGTCAAAACAATACCATATTGAAAATTCAAAAGATATATTACATGTAATCATTTTAAAATTTTTTTTTTCAAGTTTTGTGAGTTGAAGAATAGACCATACCAGACTCCCAGAATTTCAACATCAACCTGTTTATCTTTCACACACGATGCTCTGTAGTCTTAAAATTAAATAAATATTTTTTGTTCTTGTTTTTTAGCAGGCCTATCAGATAACTAGAGAAACAATATTAATCTGTCAATATGGTCTCTGGTCGTAAAAGTGAAATATCGAAAGGTCGGATGTTGGAGGCCCACTCAGATCCAAGCTCGTTGCTTTAGGGTGAAGCAACTTTACCCAGCTCAGAAAAATAGCCAAAAAAGTTGCATGTAGTTCTTAAGCAGGGGCACAACAGCGATTCGACGTGATGAGCTGAACAGCTCGTATGTTGGTCCTTTCCCTCGCGGATAAATTTTATTCGACAAATATATTTTTTCTCTGTTTCAAGAGCAGACCTGCCATAATATAAGTCAAAGTAATGCCATGTTAAGGATATAAAGTATATTGGATTTAATAATTAAAATTAGCTTTTTCCTACCCGGGTTGACCAAAAATGCTAGTCATACAATTTTCATATAGGGAAAAATGCTAATCATACAGTTTACATGCAATTCCCTAAGTACAGAAAATTGCATGAAAGGTCTATGATTAGTATTTTTTCATATATGAAAATTGTATGACTAGCATTTTTCCATAAACGAAAAATATTGATTTTTTACTTTTTAAGTTCTCAAAATTTTTCGGTTGTTTTTGTAACCGAACACAAATGACTTTAACCTTGGATACTCAAACGTACTAACCAAAGGTTTGGCCGTCTCGCATTAGAAATGCAATGGACACAGCCGCCTGAAATGTCCTAATTCTGTCTCACACAAATAATATAACGAAAGTAACGAACTTCTAAATTTTAGAAAAAACATTCAAATATGATTATTTCTAAAATTTGAACTTTTTATTTACCAGACATTGATCAAGGCATACAAAAACATGTCATACAAAAGTTTTTCATACATGGCGTTTTTGACAAAAGTTATGAAGAGAAAAGGAAAAAAATCCAATATTAATATATCCAGGACTACGTTATACACACAAAAATTAAATTTCGCATGCAAAATTTTGTTCCTCAAAAATTGTTTGTTTGAGTACGACAATCAGTTTCCGGTTGAAAAAAAACAAAATAAATTTTTTTGGTGACAATTTCAAAAATACTCTGGAAAATTTTTGTCATCGCCATCAAAAAAATGCTAGTCATACATTTTCCATATATGAAAATTGTATGATTAGCATTTTTTTCGACAAAAAGTTTTTCTTTTTTATTTAGTACGATACACCGAATTTTATGCCAAAACAAGAGAAAAATTGTTCGAAAACTCAATGACACCATTTTAGCAAAGTGTATGAAATTTGTATGATTAGTATTTTTTCATAGACTTATTTTATGGAATTGTATGATTAGCATTTGCGGTCTATGGAGGTCAACCCGGGTAGACTACCAGAATATAAGAGCAACAATACTAGTATAAAGTATAATTTTGACTCCCATTATGTTGTCATTCTTCATAAAAATTAAACATTGTTTGTTTCTCTCTGTTTCCAGAGCAGACTTACCAGAACAGTACAGTGAACACAGTGTGCGTGTCTGACGGCGAGGTGGAATTCAGCTACTGCAGTGGAATGTGTGGAACTGGTGGATATTTCATGCCCAATGTCAACGACATCTCTCAAGGATTCATGTCCACTTGTGCTTGCTGCAGGCAAACAGTTCTTTTTTAAAATCCATTATTTAACTGAATTAACCGAGTTATCATTAATAAACAAAGGTTAAATTGATTCACGAAAGTGTGTCTTAGCAATTGAAAATGAACTGTTCGAGGTATTGCATGTACCTAAAAAAAGTCGACAAAATTTTTGAACATTTTTTGAAAAAACGACCCCCCCCCCCCACATCGAGAAAATCCTTGATTCGCCCCTGCATGTACACTTGAGCTTGCTATTGGCCAGTTTCTTAATTCTCGAAAAATTCTTCGGGTTAACAAGTTTGAATCAAGTCAATGTTTGACTCTAGACGCTAATGGACTTTTTTGTTTTTTTTTTCAAAAAAGTCCATTAGCGTCTAGATTCAAACATAGACTTGATGATTGCTAATCATTGTTGATGATTGCTAAAGTTAATGATTGCTAATAACTGTTTTTTCTACACACATCTTTTTGTATCTTTCGTCTCGGTTAACGGTTGTAAGTTTTCCTTTTTATTTGTTCCAGACCAGTGGCGACTTCGATGGTGCCTGTGACATTCGACTGCACCCACACGTACAATGTAGGTGGACTCACTACAGTACTGGAGAACAAGAAGACAGTCTCACTCCCACTCAGCATAGAGGGCGGATGCTCCTGCGATGCTTGTGACGGTAACAGCGACGATTTAGATTTATCTGAAAAGTTTTGATTCTTTTCAGACTATAAATAAGTCTAAAAATACATTTAGTATCTGAAAGCAGTTGTAAGTTTCGAAACAATTCAGAAGAATTTTAAAAAAATGTAATTCAGTAAAATTTACAACAAAATGTAATTCTAAATTCATCTTTTACAAATTTTAGAGCTCAATGATATAATCGTGCTTATTATCAAAACGAGTTTCATGAGTCAGTTTCATGATTTTATAATATTTTCTCTTTTATAATATTTTGTGTCAGTTTCATGATTTATTGTATATTATAATATATTTTTTATTAATTTGTATCCTTGCAGGTTCTGGCGGTACCCCATTCGACGTGTCTGACCTGATGTCCACTGAAATAGTACTTCGCCTATACAAACTGCAACAGGGACAGGACTCGGTCCCCATCACTTCCAATGTGGTAGACCAGTGCACTGTGATCGTGGATGACGCAGTCTACACTCCGGCTAATGGAGTGGTGGTGGTGCCTGGAAGTTCCTTCAACAAGGAAACCCAGATTGACTGTCCTAACTACGTTACATGGAGAAGTGAGTATTCCTAATGAAACTGGGACTCTTTTCCACCCCCCCCCCCCACCTTTCAAAATACCGAGTTTTATGTTTGTTTTACGTGTTATTACGGCTAAATATGTGATGTTACGCTGTAAAGTATGAACAACAAATCTGCTCACAGTTGTCGATTTGTTCACCACGTCAAATTTGATTGCATTATGACAACGTTAAATAGTCTTTCAAACTTAAATTTGAAGGGTGAACTAGAAAAGAGCCATACAAGGCATTTCATGCCAACTTTAACTAGGCATGAAAATTTTTACGTTTTGAGGATGCCCAAAACCTGCAAAAATAAGTAGTTGCTCCTTTCAAAGGAAGGGGGAGAGGGTAACCGCGATAATAACTAAATATTTGAAGCCCTAATTCTCCCTCTCGCTACTGATTTATTTCCCTCACGCTAATATTCCTTTTTGACGGAGTTACCATCTGTTTTTTTTTGGTAACGTATCATCTTCGTATTTCCCTATCAACTTGTTAATGTCATATAAATAATAAATTTATTTTCAGGACCATTGTGGATACATTCTGATAAGTTCAAATTTGTTGGAATGTAAATCTATATTTTTGTTTATCGCCAGTATGAAAGACGTCATAATTATATTGAACAATCTACAGAATTGTTTTAACTTACTAACTTTTTCTGTTTTCTCTTTCCAGACAAGTTCCCAGTGATTGACATCAACAGCAGGACTGCGACTGCCTACTTAATTAGAGACACGAATGTGGATGACAATGAGGCCTACGTTGAACTGTACTACAGTGGGTCTGCCTCGTTCCAACTCGGAATCCAGGGATCTTGTCAAGGATTCGACTCTGACGAGGTGAGCATGGAACAGAATACGCGCCGTTATAAAAATACCCAACTTTTGTCTGCTTTGTTACCGCTTGATCATTTTTGTAAATTATAATTTAGTACTTTGAAATTGTGTTTCTTGACATGTTTTGTTTTTCAAAATGAATTTCATTTAAGACAAAATTTTGGCTGATACAGTTTTTTTTTTTACTTTTTTTTTCAGTTTTGGATAACTGCCGTTTTGCTTTTATGTTATTTTTGTATTGTTGTTGTTTAGTTCTGCACCGGAACAGAGAATGGAGTGACGGAGTGCAGCAGTCTGTCTTACAGATGGTCTCCATACCACACAGCCTCCGACGCCTACTCAGTCCCGTCTGTGATCAAACTCACCCAACTGGACCTCCAGGGTGCAAACACCATCTTCGTCTACGTCACCCCCGACAACTCAAGTAACTGTCAAATTTACTCACTCAACTAAATCTATAAAATTACATAATGAAACAAACAGTTGAAACTGTATTTAACGCAAGCAAGTTTTAAAATATGAATATGATTTTTGTTTGGGAAGCGAAACCGAGCCGTTGATTCCTTTTGGAACCCTTAGCCTTCCTATGAAGCTCATAAGTGATACCGAAAGCTGAGAGCAACTCCAAAAGAAGAAAAAAAGAAAGATACAGGTGATTTCTGTGCAAAAAAGGATGTTTAAATCTGAAAGATTAGCATTATAGACAAATGCCGTCCATTTTTGTGCTAAAATGCCGCACTTTCACCTTTTTCAGAGTTTTTTTATTATTTTTTTCTTAGAATTTTTTCTTTTTTGTTTGTGATTGTTTAATTTCTGTATTGATTTTCTTGTTTTTTATTTAATTTTTTTCGTCTTTTTTTGTCTAGCCGGAACCATCAAAGACTACCAGATAGACAGTGCCCAACCCAGAGTAAACATCCAGAAGGGATCCGAACTGATACCAGTGGAACTATCTCTCTCAGATGACAAGCAGAACTGCAAACAATGGACAGTTGCGGCTATCAAAGCAGATGGAACAGTTGAAGTCATCAATAGCTGCAGTGGAAACTACATCGGACTCCTCAAGAGCAACTGCAGAGGGGGCCCATCAAATACCAAATAGAGACAAAAACACCACAAAGTTGACCCAAAAGACCTGAATTATCAACATCAACCTCCACAAAATGACTCGAAATTATCAAAAATTTAACAAAAAAAGAACAAATTTGGCTTCCAAAATCAGACCAAAGCCAAAAGGAGAAAAATGAACTCGTTTTAATGTCTAGATCAAAACTATTTTGCTTCAAATTTGAAAAAAGACCTGAAGCATTTATGATCTAGTTTCAGAATTGGTTGTGGGTTGAAAGCTTAATTCTGAATTTTGATTCCGGACGACAATGGATTAAAGTCGCGATACCCTCGACTCTAAAAAACGGGGAGATTCAAATGCATAATTGAAAAAACCAAATAAAAAGAAATAAATTAAATGTTGTTTTTAGCAAGATTAGAAAAAAGAACTCATTTCCTGGACGAGTAGCAAAGTATTTCTTTGCAGAGTAGAGTAGAAAAATTTTTCGAGACCATTTGTGTTTCAATAAACTTAGTTTATCACAGTATCCACGAGGAGAAAATTCTCATCCTTCATGATCCAAACTTTTCTTTTAACCACATTTTCTGAATGAGAGTCGTTTCAATCCGCCGGTCGTGTAAATTTCCTGTTTTTCTAAGCGATTTTTGAGTTTTGATGAAGTAAGTGAGGCTATAACAGTCGATGAGCAAAGTTCAGGCTCTCATATAAGTCATGATGAATTTTTCAGAAAATATCTTAAATATTATTCAGGCTCTAAATTACTTTTCCCCCGTTTGATTTTGAGTTCTTTTTAAGTTTAGATAATTTCTTTTGCTTATACAAGCAAGCTTTAGTGAGGAAAATTGGTGCGATTTTGGGGACATCCGTGCTTTTTTATAGCATGTGCTGTGATCATTTTAATTCATCAAACAAAACGAAAAAATGTTTTTTTTTATATACAACAGTGCAATAACAAAAATTCCATTTCAGACATTTCCTACTCAATATACCTGGAATTTTCTTGAACTGCATAATTTATGCATAATGTGGCTTCTTGCTTTCCGGTTTATTACATGAAAAGTTAGTGTGGATGCTTAGAAGCCACTGAGCGAGAATGTGTCCAATGGGGTAAATTGCTGTTGAAGGAAAAAACTTTTCGTTTTTGTTATCAACCACCATAAAAATTGTAGAGAAACCACTCGGCTCATGATGAGCTCACAAATTGCATGCAAAGTTTCAAGAATTTAACTTTTTAATTGATATTGAATCAAAAGTAAGCAAAAATGGCGCGTAGTACAAAAAGTAAAAACGCATTTTGCGGAAGAGAAACTAATGAATAGTAAGAATAGAAATCAAAAATTGTTTTTGAAATTCAAAGAGTTTGAAGCCATTTTTTTTCTAGGAAACTCGAATGTTCAGATTTTTCAAAAAACAAGCCAGTGGATTTTTTTCTGTTTACATTAGTTCCTTGACTCTTTTCCAACTGCCAGTTGCCTTGTTTTCCGTTTACTGCGTTCCTTGACTTTTTCCAGCTGTCTGTTGGCTGTGTCCATTTATGTAGGTAGCATGTTTTTTTTCATGTTTTCGTACAGCACTTTGACATTTTTTTTGGAGTTGAAATACAAATGGTTCTCACAAATGACTCTCAGAAAGCAATATGCGGTTGGCTCGGACTTTGATTCGAGTTTTTTTCAGTTTTAAAAAGCAAGTTTATTTCTAAAATCCAAGCTGAAAAAAACGTTTGTTCCCATGTTTTTCCACAATGGTTACTTTTTACACAATCAAAGCTTGAGTTACAGTATGAACTCTCTTTCTGCCAACTTAAGTCGCATATATTGTTGCGACGCAAATATTGTTTGGAAAAAATGGGTTCATTTTGATCAATAACCACCTATTAAGTACAGCCAATGCTAAGGATATTAACACAGATTATTATATTACAAATAGATTTTGGCTTCAAGGTAGCATTGATTTGTAGTGTAGAGATAGGGAAGGAAATGCTCAACAAAATAAGAGAGTTCGAGCCTGAGCAGGGTCGACTGTTTTTTAATGAGTTTTTTTATACTAGTTAAAATGCGTCCGCTCTATAAATTGAGGCATGTTAGTTGGTAAATTTCTTTTTTCAAATTGACTGGTACTGCTAATGCGTCATTAATGGCTTTCGTCACTTAGTAATTATGTAGACTCATATTTGGCGTGCGTCACTTACTTGAGAAATTTTAGATACTCATAGTTTTACTCAATCAGTTTTTCCCAGTAGCGTTATCGGTCATGTTTTTGCGTGTCTATGCAAAGTGTAACTTGGCCTCTGTGCTTACGCTGGCGCTCAGCAAGCATTATCAAATCCGAATAGTTCGGGTTAACATTTTGTTTAACAGAATCACTTGGTTTCTTGGTTCAAAAAGATGGAAATTTCTAAGTGTCTCTGGTACACTTAGTCTGGAGATAACGAATACGCTTGCGACGACAAAGGTCCTGAATTCGAATCTGACCAGCACCTGTTTCTTTTTTCAAACGGGAAATTTTCCTTTGTTTTGCTCGCTTAGTTGCCACATTGTAGAATTTGTTTTGCTGTATGGAGTTTTCATTGTAATTGCTTTTTCTTTTTTCATTTAATCTTGCAATTTAGTTCACCAACTTTAACTTAGTTTTTTTTTCCTTTTTTTGACCATTTTGCTCCAAAGTTTTTTGGCTGATTTTGGCTTACTTTTTATTGGCTCACTAATCTAATTTTGGGTCGATTCTAGGAACCATAAATTGTTTGCTTTTCTTCGGATCGCCCAAAACCTTAAAATTCTCAGAATAGAATTTTTACTTCAAATTTTTTCATAACAACAATTATCTTTTTTTTGTCGCTCGAAATTTGATTTTCAGTTTTCAGAAAATGACGTCACATTTTTTGAAGTTTGTTGATAATGATTTGTACAATTTTTTTTCCGTTTTCTTTGGTCTTAGTTTTTTCCTTTCCTTTCCTGTCTACTAGCTTGCAAGGCTATTTTTTTTGGTATCGTAGATGATGCGAAGCTTCGTTTCACCTCTGTGCCATAAGGTGTCAATTATGAAAAGTTTTTTTGATTCGAAAAGCTGTAAAGTAAAGTTGATCTTCGAGAAATTAAAACTGAAATTTGAAAACTTCAATGATGTTTTTTTCTGCTCCCTAAGTTCTTAGTAAATTTTTCTGTTTTTATCAGGCTAGATTTTGTCGTTTTTTGTTTTTAGGGTAGTGCAGTAGGGCAACAGGAGCGGGGTAAAAAAAATTGTAAGCAGCTAGGATTGAGATAAACTAATAAAGTAAAACAGGAGACTGAACGTTCAGAAAAACTTTTTGTTTTCTAAACGTTCAGTCTCTTGTTTTACTTTATTAATTCCTCCCAATCCTATTAGCATACACATGTTTACCCCACTTCTGTTGCCCTATTACTCTAAAAACTAAAAAACGGCAAAATCTAGCCTGATAAAAGTAGAAAAACTTATTAAGAACTTTAGGGAGCAGGAAATCAACATAAATTAATTTTTCAAATTTCATTTTTTAATTATCGAAGATCAATATTACTTTGCAGCTTTTTGAAAGATAAAATTTTTTCATAACTTACTGTTTTTGACACAGAGGTCGTCTCCTATTGCTTGCTTATGCCATATAACTTTTGAGTCATCGTTTTGTATTTCCGAAGGTATTTTGCTTCATATTTTCTTGACACTGCATGAAAACGCTGGTGCAAACAAATTTTGAGAAAAAGTTCAAAAAGTAGCTTTAAATGGTTGCTTAGTGTAAATATTAAAAGATTGCGGCATATTGTCAATATTAGGAAAGTGTAGAGATCACTATTATAAAAAAATGAAACCGCCCGATTTCCGTTGACATAGTCCATTAAGAATACTAATGCTATTACTTTGCCGATTACTATGCAAAATCGCAGAGTGATGCGACCATAGTCTTGAAAAATTCCAAAAGATGTTTCAAGTTCGTGTTTTTTTTCTGCCTGGTGCGATAAAAATATCTGAACGAAAAACTAGAAATTAGGCATAATCGGCAGTCATTATAAAATAAGCATGGTGGGCTAAAAAAAATTAACAAAAAAACGTTCAGTTATTTTATATTTTATTGCATTTTGTTTAGTTTTTGAAGTTTTTGATTCCAAGAGTTGGCTAAATTAAGTAAAAAGTTTCACGGCTTAAATTAAGCGTAAATAAACTACTGTAAGCGTGCTCGCTCGCTATTTTTGCTCGAATTTGGCTGAAAATTTAAGCAGGTATTTCTTTTTACTGGGGCAGTTTTTTGAGAAGTTCCAAGGTTGCTCGAACCAGATTTGAAAGAGCTATTTATGATATATCACTCTGTTGTATTTGGCACCTTATTATGCGTTAAAAAATAAAACACACTCGAATACAATGTTCCTCCCCTTTTTGAATGGTCTGAACAAAAAAAACATATTTAAGGTCTTGTAATGAATATTTGTTTGGACTTAAAACCACGCATTCAGGTAAGTGTTAATTAGAATTTTTGTACATTTGGTTAGCAGTCAGTGACTCTTGTTAAAAAATTCCAAACGGGACCTTTTGAAATGTATTTGGCACCCAAAATTAGGGATTGGAAAATTTTCATCCTGATATAATTACGTGTCTCGCTGAACAATGTATTAACCTTTTGCAACGTTGCCCAGATTGCTATATACTAATACAAAATAATCCTAAAGCACTCACAGAAATGTTCTAGTTGTTTTCCAGTTTAATTTTCTGAACTATTTGTTGGGCATTTGCCTAGAATCAATTGTTAGGCAAAAATAATCTAAATTAAAAATTGATACAAAAACTGCGAATTTAATCAAATTAAATCAGTTTTTTCTTTAAGTTTATGATGATGATGATTGAAAATGAGTTAATCAAATTTTGGACTAGTTCTGTTTTCCTTCCAACTGTTCCTGTGCAATTAGCAGAATGTTTCTCTTTTCGAAAAGAAACCGCAATTCTTTTCCTTCGCGTCGTTCCCTGTAGATTTCGTTATAGCAGCTCCTCAATTCACGTTTGATCACACCTGGCGAATCTTGCTCACGTGATAACCAATCAAGTGCCATGTGACGTCTCATTTTGTCGTCGATGATTGTGTTCGAAAAATGTGATAAAACTTCTTGTCGTGAACATTGTCTTGCTCGCATAGCTGTTAAAAGAATTTTCACTTTTCCAGTTTGTTGCGATAGTTGCAATAATGCATTGAAAAAAATCGTATTAAAAACTTATTTCTATTCATTTGTACGAAAAATGTTCCGAGCTTTTACCCATTAAATCCATTTTTTCGATATTTTTTTAAATCAAAGTTGAAAAACCGAACCTTAGAACTCACTGAAATCTGTGGAAATACTGGTGATATCCCAGGCAGTAATTAAATTAGTAAGTATGATTCAAAGCAAACTTGTTCTGTTTATTTTCCACCTGAAAACAATTTATAATGACTATTACGGAAATTAAAATGGAAAAGTGTAAGGGCAGTTCATTCCTTTTAAGGAGTCGTTCCAGTGAAGTAATTGGAAGATGGTCATTGTCTCTTGGAACTCCAGCATCGTTTTGCCCGCGTGTGATTTAAGCATGGACTCGAATACTCCGATTGAACTGTTCGGGTTGTGGGCATCGAACCTCGGACCTGGAAACCCAAGCAAATCCATCATCCACAATATTTAAATTCAGGATTAATGAACAAAAAAACAAAATCATGAAAATTGTGTTGCTAGTTTTTGCAATAGTTGGGGGTGACAAAATTCTGGGCTTTCTGCTTTTGTTAGTTAGGTCCTCCAAGTTAATTTTCAAAGTCCATTGAAAATGAAATGACAATTCTTACAATTCGAAAATGTTTCTACGCTTGGGTGGGTTTAACCTAACAAGCCCTGTAACCTAACTTTGATTTGCAACCCTGCAACCATTCCTTTTGTCACATAAAGCATGCAAGAACTGTTTTCCCGAGCTTTTGTTTGTTTTCAGATAAACCAATTTTAAAGGCTAACCTTATTATAATTTATTGTTCTGCAGTTTTATGGTAAGTTATGACCTGTTTGTGTTACTTTATTTGTGATTGTATCATTTATCGATTTAACAACTAATTGTAAATCTACCATAAATTGAGAAGACATAAATCAAGTTTTAAATTTGCTCGAGGTTTTTGTTTTAAGCTTTAGTACCGCTTTATTACAATAGCATAATAGTACGAGAAAGACATTAAGTCTTAAGAATAAGTGGCAAAGGTGTTTATGGCTGTTTTCGGTTGATTCTTCTAGATTTTTTATGGTTCTCGAAAACAAAGTTGCACACTTTTGATGTTAACCTAATTAAATAAATTGGTGTATTTCGATAATCAGTTTATGTCACAGGTTTTGCTTCCGGACAAGCGTGGATTAGGGGTGTACTTTCGGCCCCGAAAAAGATTGGACGAGATCAAATTTGTCAATAAAACGAAACGCTCTCCCTTGTAGTTAGTTAGGGTCATAATTAAAGTTGAGCAAATTGAAATTTTTTAAATTTCGTTTTAAAAAAGCAAGAAAAAAATTTCATGAAACTAAAGTTTTATACTGATAAAAATTTAGTTTAAAATACTGATTTAAAACAGTAAACTTGCTCCTATTTATTTTTATTGACATGATTTTTGATCGACATATGACAAATCTTTAACGGGCGGGCGTTTGTATATCCAAATATTTTTTCCAAAACAAAACTTTGGATCTTCCAACGTCCCCCTCCCAAAAAGTGGTGTAATCATTAATTTTGCGCAATTGTATTTGTAGGCAAACTGGATTTAGGTAATGAACTATCAGGCATCATTTCAGGACAATTGAACAACCAGAACAAACGATAGAAATAAAAAAAAATGCTTATGGATGGGGGGGGGGGTAAAGTAAAAGAGCTCATTTTTCGTCCAGTGACTGCATAACTCTCTCACCGTTGTGTACTTTGAGCGCGTCTTGTACTGCTGACTGTATGAATGTGTCTGTGATCTTGCGGTAGGGGTGCTCGTTGAACACACTGTTCATCAGGGCTATTTTGGCAGCACTCCTTTTTGCGTCTGCTAAGGTGACCGAGTGCTGAAAAAAACGAAGATTTGCCTGAAAAATCCATTTTTCCGTTTATTTTCTGGGATATAAAATTGAGCTAGATGATAATTATTCATAATATAAATTGTTTTCAAGCTTTATTACAAAGTTAACTTTCCAGGAAGCTAATTTCCCATGCAAAGTAGATCGTTAGATAGTAATTGTAAACTCATCTGATTTTTTTTTTGAATTAACTCGCCTCGAATGAAGCGAAGCAAGCTCCCCCAGGTAGCACCACGTAAGTCACGAAAGGAGGAGAGTCGGAGTCCTCGTCTGTGTAGTGGGGACAGGATGACCCCCCTGCAGGGAATAATTGTCCCTTCGTTTCCTTCATCTGCCAGAACTCTTGCAGGGCTTCCACTGCGTCTACTGAGTTCAGACCTGGATAACAACTTCAAGTTATAATTCTAATTATAACAAAGATTTTTTCTTCTAAATATAGGTCAAAGACAGTAAGGTATGATTCTAATTGTTGAAGCTTCGCTTCTTCCATTTAAGAATAATTTTATCAAGGTTGATGAATTAATAATTTGCAGTATAACAGTATTTACAGCAAGATTGTAACTTTGAAAGGGACAGTTAACAAGCAGTGTTCACAAAAACGTTCACAGGGCTTTTTCGAGACTAAAAATCTCAAACTTGCCGTCATTCATGATCCGACAGATTGATACTTAAATTCTGAAAGTGCTGCTGGATATTCACATTTGTCCCGAAAAACCACTTCCCTAAAAATTGCTTAAAACTTTTTAAGGAAGTGGTTTTTCGGGACAAACAAGGGCAGATTTAGTCCCCCCTCTCAGGATTTAATTCGACCCCCTGCCGATCCAACGGGTTCCCCCTTTGTACTAATTTGAGATAACCAGTTTTGCTGATGGACCCTAAAAACTTTCTAAAGGCGCCTTTGGCGCCAATATATTCTAGCTTTGAAGGGGAAGCGCGCGCCGAAAAAACGCGATTTTTAGTCAAAATGTTCCAAAAAGTGCCTTAAAACGACTTTTTTGGCCTGTTTTGTTTCAAAATTTTGCTTGCGGTGCAAAAAATTTGGCCGTAAAGGGTCTTTTTAGTGCTTTTGGAGTGCTCGGAAAATCAATTTGGTCAACCTAGAAAGTTTTTTTCTGAAAATCCTGCCCCCCCCCCCCCCCCAAAAAAAACTCCTCTCGAGAAAATCCTAGATTCGTGAATATCCAGCAGCATTTACAGAACTGATGTATCCAGCTGTCGGATTTTGAATGACGGCAAGCTTGAGATTTTTACTCAGGGACTTGAAGACAGTTTAAGGGAACCTCTGCACAAAAAAAAACTATTTGCATTGAGCTCATCAAATGACAGCACACCTTTGTCAGTCAAATGCTGTTTATTTGAGGAATTTTTTAAATGAGTAGTCGTCACTAAATTATAGCAGTCAACACAGAGCTATATCGATGAAAACAATTGGTTAGCCGATTCTTCAATTTCAATGATTTGAATACGATTGATTGCTTAAAACACATTTTAATGGAATACTAAGTATCGAATCAATAATAATCAATGATGAAAATTCAACTAAAGCGGAAGCCCAATTTAAATTGACTTGAAGTAATCTGAGATTTTGAGCAGTATTGGAATTCACATAAACTGAATAAAAAAGCATGAGTCCCAGCAAGAATTTTTCAGCTGCTGTTTCCAAATTTTGACTTAAACAGTAACTATCAAAAACAATTCACTGGAAGATCGAAAGCTGTTATGGTTCAAAAGCGGAATTTTAATTCTCAGATACACTACAAACCTGAATTTATCCTCAAATTGAAACCTTAAACCACAAAGTTCGTATCTAGACTAATAGGCTTTATTTTCCGGTTCGCTTTTTTTCACTAGTTGCTGCTAAAAAAACGCAAAATAAAAATTTTGTCTTTTAGGGATAGTAATAGAATATAAGTTTCCAATATAGTGTATCTAATCATTATAAATTAGATTAGTTTTTATCTGTTAGACACTATAATATTGCTTCATCTTTTTTGTCATTAATTACTTTTCACTAATTTCTTTTTTAAGCAAAATTGTAAATTTTTAACTTATTTTCTTTTTGAAAAATGGCAAATGTTTCACTAGTTTCTAGTAAAATTTCTAGTAAAAATTTAAATGGCAAAGAATCGTTGCTTTTCAGTGACAACTGGCACAAATCATCCACTCATCGCTTCAATAACGATTGAGATTGACATTGTTGTAAACTGATTAAAACCCGTGTGAGAAACGTAATAATAGAATAAGTTTTTGTTTGAACTCGGTGTTTTAGTTTTTTTTAACGCAAAATCATAAGCCACAAATAATCATCGGACTGGGTTGAGTGATACATCATATTAAAGCCCTTACAGTCATGATTCGAGCTACTTTTAAAAACTTTTGAAAACGTTTTCCCAGTGCTGAGAAAAACCGGTATAAAAGTTTTGATTTATCGTCTAAATTCGAGCGAGTAAAGCGAGCGAGCACGCTAACTTATGCTTAGTTTAGACATTTTACAATAATCTATTTGTGCTCAATTTTAACTTAAATCAAGTAAAATTAGATTTCGGTAACTATCAATTACGTTTTGGGAATCAAAAACTTTCAAAAAAGTCAAAAAATTGAAAAACAAATATGAATTTTTTGATGTTTTTTTTTGTTTTTCAGGTTATTTTTCTTCAAACTGTTATTATAAACTGACTTAATTAAAGTTTTACGTTAGATTTTTTATCACACCACTCAGAAAAAACTACCCTAATTTAAAAAAAACATTTTTTTCTCGTAGTTTTTTTAAAGACTATGGTCGGAACATTCTGTGCACAGTAACTAGCTATCACTGTTCTTAATTGAAATTGCCCAAGCACAAATAAGAAAAACCCGTTTTTTAAATAAATGTTAACAGATAAAGAAACAATTTAACGCTTTTTTCTCAAAGCGGCAACCTGAAATTTTTTTTAATTTTTAATCAGTCGTCTGATGTCTTAAGTCAATAAGTCTGTAAGCCATTTTTTCTAATTGATCTGTATTTTACCTCCAGTGTGTTTGTAAAAGCTGTTCATCACAACTTCCACCGCCTGTTGCAAATTGCCAGCCCTGGTCGGAGTGGACGACGCCGAAGATGCAGACCCATTCGGATCCCTGCCTCGGCTGTTCCGATTATTGAAGTTGATGTTTCCGTTGTTCGATCTTCGGTTTTTTTGTGCTGATGTCATCATCTCTTGTCTGTCGTTTTCCAACGAGCTGGCGCTGCTTCGCGAACTGGTATGAGACATTTCGGGACGACAATACTAACGCAGTAAATTGAACTACAGACTATAAACTGTAAAGATAATACCATGAAATACTTTTATAAACTATAAATTTACAACTTTAATATATAAGTTGGGTCAATGAATGATTAAATCGGAAATAAAAAGTTTTATTATTATATAAAGAAAATTGTGCACGTCTTGAACTTGAATAAATTCCAGTTTTTATTCTTACTGGAAACTGAAAAGCGCTGTTTTTACAATCCAGACGAGAAGGCCAATAATTTATGCACAATTATTATGGATTTTAATGAATTTTTTTTAATTTTTTTTTGGCAAAACTCGATCGATAAGAATGCGAAATATGTTAATTTGATTGAATAATATTGAACCAGGATCAAATTTTAAGTAAATATTCAGAAGTTAACCAGCTTCATCTCGATTTGATCTACTGGACAACTTTTGAGGTCTCTGTCTCTGTCAGGTAGTTTTTTCTCAGTTATTATATTTTCCTCAGCCTGTTTGATAAAATAAAGAAAAACTAAATTGAAATATTATTTGGAGACAACAATTTTAGGGTCTTCTGGTCATAAAATGTTTAGACAATGTGGCAAGGGCTGAAACTAAACCCAGGATAAAAACAGTTCAATCTTGTAAAACTGCTCTTGTTTTGAAACTTTGTCAACAACAAAATCGAACTTGGTCTGACTTTGAAGGTGGTAATAAACAATCAATGGCATTAACACCTGGAGTGGATTTGTTTATAAATTATAACTAAATAACAGGTCCGATATAATTGTGATGATAGATCTTCTCGGTTCACGCAACGAGGGATCTGAAACAACAAAAACACGTGTTTTGAATGTTATCTCAAAATTCGATAAACAAACCCAGGCTCAGATTTGCAAATCGGGTTGAAATTGGGACTTCAGTCAAACTTGGGCAAATTTCAGGTAATATTTGGGCACCATTTGCCTACAAATTTGGGGTTAAAATTGCTTCGAGGCATGCGAACTCTTCCAAATGAAATAGAATAATGGGAAATAATTCGGGCAATTTGGGATTAAGAGTTAAATGGTATTTAAAAAGCAACTTAAGGTTTCCCTGAAAATGAAATTAAACTTTATCTTGGCGTTTTTATACGCCTAGAAACTACTGGGGGTCTGGTATTACCATACCCATGGTGTGAAAAGAAGTTAATTCAGAGTTGGCATGAATTTGTAATTGTAGCCAAGTCAGGGATTCAAAAGTTTTTCAGTTAGCCGACTCGTATCTTTTAAGCAAAAGGCAATATTTTTCTTGAAAACAAAAGTGAAAAAGAAACACTATCAAATAATGTTCAAAAAACTAACTCAAAAGTCAATCGATTGTTGTTGTTTTTTTTATATAAAAAACTTTTTTCCAAAAATTTAACGTAAAGAACAGCTTTTTTCTACTGCGAGTATGAAATGAAAAAAAAAGAAATGATTTTATGAAATTCTTAATGAAACTAAACCTCAAAAAATTTCAAGTTATGAACTGAAACTAATTTCTGCTTTCGTACCAAATTGCCAATTGCGTTAGTTTGTAGGTTTGTGTGTTCACAGGCAGTTAATACGTTTAAGTATTACTAAGTGGTGGTATTGTATAAGCGATACACATATATCACCAGTTAAGAGTTGGCATTACTAGTTATGATTTGTAGCTCTCCCTACAATTCACTCAATTCTCGATGGTAAGTTGGCAAGTCATTTTCTCTGTTGGTAAGTTAAATCGGTAAGACACGTGGTTGTTTGTTAATCTGATCGAAAGTTGGATTAGCAATTTGTTTATGGAAACTTAAAGATTGCTAAACAGAAGATTACATGCAAATTGATCGAGGGAAAATCGACAGACGTGCGAGAGGGCCGAAAGTTATCTGCGAGCACCTGTCAGAGCCACAAACGGCACAAAAACACCATCAAGACACAAAAAATCACTCCACCTTCATCAAAAATGTATAAATATCACCCGAAAAAGAATAACTGCCTGCTTCTTCTCTGCTTTTTAAAAATAATTGCCTGGTTCTTGGAAAAATTTTGAACGTGATCAACATGAATAATTTATAAATATCGACAGAAAATACATTTTTTCATTAATAAGTTTTTTAACTGACTAAATTAAACATTTCTTTGAAAGACTTTTGCAAGAAAACTTAACTCCAACAGTTTTTTAAATCAAAATTTCGGGTATTCAAACAAATTTTAAAGATTTACTTTAGGCCAACAGACGCCCTCAATATTTTGCCCCTGACCGGTGGGTTATCTCAAATTTGGGCTTAGAATCGGTTCTTTTGAATTTGATTTGTTTGGAGGACTAGATCTTAAACAGAGAGTGAATTGAATATTATTTCTATAAGTGGCAGGTCCCAGTTAAACATAAACATATTAGGAGAGTAGATTTACACCGGCGCAAATAGCAAAACAGAAGATAGTAAAAAGAAGGAAGGCAGAGTTATCACGACAAGTTGGAAGACAGAAGAGACAGCTTATATGTTTAATTATCTGACTCCAGATAAGCCCAGAGGAACAAAAATTGGCACAAGAAAGTTTCCGTTTTGTTCTTGCATATGGAAAAAATTTTGGAGTTTTCTAGGTATCAGTAATCTGAGAAATCTGAAAAGACCATTTTTTTTTTCTTTATGAATAATATGATTTCTTGAATTCATTTACCAGCTGCAGTCAAAAATTATATAATTTTAATAAGCTATAAACTGCCTGGATTTAATTAGTATTTTGTGAAATATGTAAAATCTGAATTTTAAACGCTTTTTTATCAGAAAAAGGAAAAAAAACAGTCTGGTTTTTTATCATTATCCCAACAGCCGCGCCTAACTGTGATTTTTGTGTTATGAATTTTTGCATCATTTAAGCAAGATTTCATAAGAAAATTTTATAAGAATCTTACATGATTTTAAATCTTGTTAACTGCTGTTCGGAGTGCAAAATCCTTTAAGTTTCTTGTAAGGTTTCTATAAGATATTGCATTTAGAGTTGCAGTTCAGAAGAATTAAGAATCGTGTATATTTCTTGCGGACTTGTATTACACATTTTGGGCACACGTCTGAATTCGCAACTTTTGTATTTTTTTAAATGTTCTTTAAAATGAACTCAGCGCTCACAAAAATCTAAGACTTCAAATTGAACCGATCAGAAGTTTTTGTGCGGTACGAAAACTTTTGATCAGTTCAATTTGAAGTTTAAGAATGTTATGCATTCTTGCAGCTTACTCTACTGCAAACTCCCATATTAGTTTTTGTAAATTGCAGAAAGTATTTAAAAAGCAAATGCTAAAAACTGTTAAAATTTGCATTACTTTTTTAACTTATTGAACTTTCACACCAGAAACCATTTTTCGCAGAAAAGAAATTACTTCAAAAAACGCTGTTGAAAGAATGTTTAATCAACCCTCATTTTCTAATAAGATTGTCACAAGATTAACTTACAAGAATTTTGACACTGTTCATCCAATATATTTTGAATTATAATAAGACTCGGTTAATGAAAGAAAGAGAGCCCATCAATTTTATAACTGACATGCTGGGCCGGGTTGAAAAGTAAAAAAAAAGTTGTTTTGGGGGTATCAAAGCAGACTCTATTTCCTCCGGAAGCAGCAGGTATATGTGCGTTTCAACCCCCCTCCCCCGACCCTACCTCACCTGAGCTTCATTTTTATGGCGTAGTGAGATATTTTATCAAGGTTAATTATGAAGAACAAAAGTGGAAACAATTTAGTGGAAGCATTTTTTTCGATAAAAGATTGTCCATTAAAATTTTGAACGTTGCATGTGGCTGAAAAAAGTGCCATTGACGAAAAAGAAAAAAATTGTCAAAAATTGATCAATAATAATCAAATCTGAAAAATAAACAAAGTAAAATTTTTTTAATCGAAAATATTTGCCATGTAAATTATTGTTTTTGTGCGATCAGGTGTTTGAGGAATTAATGAGGCCTTAAAATGATAAAATAGTAGCAAAGACCTTGAAAGTAGACAGTCTCATGTTTTTTATGGTCAAATCGAATGAGATTTCATACTAGCTCGGGCTAATTTTTATAGTTGATACTGAAAAAATGGAGAGCTCCATTTTAACGAAAAACCCTCTTTGACGCTGATAGTAAAAAAATTGTTGTCAACAAATTGGTGTCAAATTAATGTCAAAATTGATGAAATACAAAAGAAAGGTTGAAAACTCTGAGAATGCGTCCAATAGCATTTGCAAACTTGCGGATTTTAAGAAACATTTAAGTTTGTATCGAAAATTTTTTAAAAATAATTATAAATATTTGCTTCAACGTACCTTTTTGATTGTTCATCAAATAACCTGAAAAACATCTAAAAAAAATTGCGCACAAGTTATTTTAATTTTATTCAAATAGACTTCGGAAACAATAGTTCGTGTTCAGATAAGGTTGCAAATACGAAATGTAAATTTTGATTTCTTTTGTCAAGACTGATAAATTTTGTCAAGCAAACTTAGTGAAACATAAAACACTTATCGCAAATAACCAACTTTCACTGAAGTATTTTTAGAATTTATTTGATATTGTGTCAATGATTGATCACAAAAGAATTTGAATGGTCTGAAAGTGCGAAAGTGCCGATAACAGAAAAAGAAATTAACCACCTTTGTTTCTGAAGCCGCCATTGTTGCCTAATATTTTGTTGTCCTTGATAATTTTTCGTGTGAAAACTTGAATATTCCAAAAGATCTGAAAGTCAATGCGAAGTTAGAGTTTTTTTAGAAACCACTTAAAAAAGGTTGGGGATGTTGAAACTTAGGTGGTTGTAAATATGGGCGGCTTGATAAGCAGCAAAAAAAATCACTTTCAAGTAGAAAGATGAAAACTATAAAAAAAAACTCAAATAGACGGACCGATATGGAAAAATTAGTGTTGAAAACCCAAATATAAGTTTGCTATAATTGTCGTTTTAATAGAAGCAGAAATATTTAGCTGGTCTTTAAAGTGAGTTACAATGGAGTTAATAGGCTTCCAATTTCAAATGGCATTATTCTGAGTTTTGTCGAGGCAGAGAAAAAGAAAAACAAAGAAATAGAAGTGTATAATAAACATATCACTTCAAAATATAGCTTACAATTTTTTGTTGCTTTTGAAGTACAATAAGATTAAAGGATTTATTACATCGAAGGTGTTGATATACATTCATGGTTAAAAGAATCGAAACATGGTTGAATAATTTCTAACATTGGACTCATCTACCCGAAACGAAAGTAAAGAAAAATGCGTCCAAAAATAATTCATACTGAGAACTGTACATTTTTTTCAGAAAAAGCTGGCGGTAATTTTGTCTTACTGGTATTTTATTTGAGGAATAGGCAAAGATTTAGAGTAGAGCATTTAAAAGGAAGGATTATTTGCTTTGTAGTATGTTCAACAAGATATGCAATTTTAGGATCTTGTTAGCTATTACCTGCGCTATTGCAGCTAGTAACAATTTACTACCCTTACGGTAAAAAAAAATTAACAAATTTGCAAAAAAAAGAAAAAATGTGTAATAAAAACCGCATTTAATTTGGAACACTGGAAAATTTTTAAACTTCAGGTTACCAAAATCCACGAAAAAAATTGGAAGAGTTTTACACTTTTTCCAGACTTCCAAAATCCTCGGGACATGTGTAGCTACATGCCATACGATACGAGAAAAAAATTCCATCAAAAAATAGGGAAACGGAATATTAGCATTTGGAGAGATTAGCTTACGACAACTTTTTTACACGCTCATAACATTAATTTACAAAAATTCGCCGAAAAGCAAAAAAAACTTGAAGCAATAAAATTTCTTTATTAAAAACCATGCCAACCAGTAATGCGTATACTAAAAACTGATGGCCGCAAAAATAGTGACCAGGCCCTTATTGAAATGTAACGGCAGGGACCAATAACTAATTGCTTAGGTCATATTAATGGAGAAATTGAGTTATAAAACCAAAACAAGACTGCTCGTACCAGGGCGAAGCCCTGAATGTTCCGACAGCTTTTTAATGTTTATGGAGCAGTAATAACATTAAGGAAATTAAATGAAATAAAATAAAATGAAACTTTTTTTTCTAAAATTTGAAATTTTTTATGAAAATCATCCCCCCACACGCCATATAAAGTACAAAAAGAGAGATTTCGTTCCTTGTAACAAATTCAACCAATTTGGAACGATTTATAAGACGGATTAACTCTCCGCTTACGCGTTAATAGCGCGAAATATATCGCGCGTTAATTGTCCCAAATTGGCCAAAATAAAAATCTTTAAGCCCCCGTAACTTTTCGAAAAATGATCACAGGTGAAATATCTTTTCACATTTAAGCTCAGGACAACAATACCTTTCGATTGATAAAAAAAAATTTCGTCAAAAATGGCTAGTTAAAAAGTCGAAATTTGTCTGAAGAAAAAAAACCCACCCCGAGCACAAATAATCCGTTACTTTCGTATCGAAAGTCGGAACAAAAAGTTTTCCAATTGCCAATGAGAACCGGCTCGTGCAAACAGCTACAAAAATAAGTTCTGGAGCCGGCTAAAATGTAAAAATTGAACCAAGACTTTGCTCATAATAAATATTTCCTATTTTCTACGAAAAAACTTCTGCAGCTGAGAATTTCTAAATAAAAGGTGCTTGGTTTTTGAAAAGAAAAGCTTTGGCAAACACAATTTTCTTAATTGCGTCCAGTAGCGGATTCAGGGAAAGGGGGGAGGGGCGGGGGCCTACGCCTCACTCTCTCAGGGATTCGATCCCCTGCCGACCCAAAGGGTCCTCTTTTGTAATATTTTGAGATATCCATTTTTGGCTGACTGACCTCAAAACTTTTCCTTTGGCGCCAATGTATACTAATTTTGAGCGGGGATGCGCGCCGGAAAAATGCGATGTTTTGGTCGAAGTTTTCCAAAAAATGCCTAAGAACGCCTTTTTTGGCTTTTTTTTTCAAAAATTTGCCCCCCTCAAAAATTTGCCCCCCATCTTCATAGTTATGTTAGAAGTGATACTTTTTTTTTGCTTTTTTTCAAGTTGCGTTGTAAATCCCTCCGTCTCAATCTGCAAACAGTTGCTATTTTTGCAGGAACAACTAATTTTCTAGATGTTGTCTTTTTCAAGCTGCTTTTAGGTTTTTGTTGAAAATGTTGAGCAAAAATGATTCCAAACTGTGTTAGAGTTAATACAAGTATCGTATCGATCTCTCATCCATATAATCATGAATTATTAGTCTGAAAACGGAATTTGGAGGCCAGTTTTTTCTACACTTGTTTCGCATTACCACTGTTATATGTTATAATATGGGACACCACATTAGATGTCAAGCTCATGCCCGCACTAGATTTCTATAGATATTAATCGATTACATTTGAGCTTGCTGGCGATAAATGCAGAAATTTTTGAAGGATTCCAAAAAAAATTAACAAATAATAATAACAAAATAAAAAATCCTTCATAATCCATCTGGACGAAATGGGAACCGATAACAATGACAAAATTTTAGAGGTCAAGGCTAGCCCATATCATTGTTTCTTCTCCCTGTTTAGAGTGTGATCCTGCGCAACAAATTTTCCCGGGATGACCGCCATACAAGAAAAATGCTAGTCATACAACTTCGTATTTGGATCCTATAAAAATTATATGGAGATGCCACCCAACAGGCTGCTGCCTTTTTGGTATTATCCTAAAGCAAATTAAATTGTAACTGTACTACTTCATAGAAGATACGGTTACTAAGTTTCTGGCTTGAGACTAAGCTTATTATAAAATGGTCTTTCCAATTTACAGAAAGTTATTTTGTTTGAAAAAACTGCACGCATTTTTAAGGAAAAAAAGGTGAACATGCTCAAAATTGTTTTCACAATTTTTGAACTGTTAGGTTACCAAAAAACAAGTAGAAAAAAAGATACACAAGCATACAACAGAAACTGTTTTCTCACACATATATTATGAACGCAAAAACATGATAAGAACAATTTTGATGACATGTATATCTTTTTGATATCAGTGCCCTCAAAAACAAAGGAAACAAATAGTGTATCGCTTACCTTTCAAATTGGGATTTCAGAAAGCAAAGACTGGTCCAATTTTTTGAATGCTCCTTTGTACAGCTATGAATAATTGATTCATATTTATTCACCCAATTTCCTAATTCTTCTTTGAAATCAAAGATGAAATCAATATCATACAAACTGCTATTGAAAAGTCCCAATTTTAGCTTAATTTTTATTGAAGATCGTTTCGTTTCAGATAACCATGAATAATTTAATAACGTCGCGGCATAAAATCCAACGAGCTCTCTATTAAAAAGAGAAATTATAGAACGTATGTTTTTCTCTGCTTACAAAAGCGCATTTTTAAAATAAGTTTGAGACCATTATGGTAAACTGTTTAGTTTGTTTTTCTGATGCAGTTTTGTTCAGTAATTTGTACGCCACACAAGCTGAAATTTATCGGTCAAAAGTATTTTCAAAAGTAATATTTATCAATACAAGCGCTTAAAAGTCTTTTGTCAAATTTACTTTAATTTTGTTGGAGTATCAAAACAGTTTGTTTTAAAAAGGTATTGTAGCTCTTGAAATAATCGAAAGTAATGACAAAATGGACTTTTTGCGACCACTTGATGAAAGAGTAATTTTCTTATCAATGGGTATCGCTTCTAGTACCGGAAATACATACTTGCCTGCAATAATACTGCCTACACAAAAGCTCTCTACATTATTGACATTGTACCAAAAGTAAAACAATTTCAATTACCTGAACAAATTTGATTTCACGTTTATCAGAAATATAATAACAATGCAGTAAATTGAGGGCAGTTTAGATACTATTTGTCCGAGATTGTTGAAGGAAACTGGATTTATTTTGTCTGAAATTTTCGTGGTTTGCCTGCTCAAATTGTTCAAAAATGTACCCCCATGTTTTATGATAACTATAAAACCAGAAAATCAGTTTAAAAATCAATTCGTTTCAAGAGAGATTTTAGATAAGGTGAATTTCTTGGAATGGATTGAAATTTTCGGTTTTCTGCGTCGACTGTCGAAGAAAAACACGGAATGATTGTGCTAACGGTTTTTTCATGCGTATTTTTTTAAAACTTTTTGTCGACAGCATTTTTATAGCATCTGAAAGAACTTGAAACTTAAGCAAAAAAACAAAATAAGACTGCTCGTATCAGGGCAAAACCCTGAACCTTTCGACTACATTTTAGTATCTATGGATTAGTGTTCTTATAAAAAAAATGATGAAGATTTCAAAAAATTTAAAAAATTTTGAAAGTGTTTTTTAGACTAATTTTAGAAAATTATCTCACCACTCGCTATGAAAAGAACAAAGTCATTTATTTTGCATAATTATCAAGTAGATCAAATAGCATATCTCAAAATAAATTGCAACGATATCTACGAAGGATTAAATCTCCGCTTAGGCCTTGGTAGCTTGAAATAAATCGTGCATTAATTATCCCGGATTAGCCAAATTGAAAATTCAGGATTTTAAAATAATCTATTTCGTTCTAGGTGTTCGTTTGAGTTATGTCTTCAAAAATTCAAGAGTCTTCAGACTCGTTTTGGACCTTTTTTATACCGAGCACCGCGCCTGGGAGCACCATTTAGAGCTGACAAACTTTGTTTCCACGTGAAATATTATTTTGATGATTTTAACACGCTGATGTAATTAAATGAACAAGACGTAAAATTAGCCCAAAGATATTTTCAGCCAAAGTGCCTGAAAGTTTTGAGAGAAAGCAGATTAACTGTTTTGTACATAAGGCGTGCAGGGGTTCTTTATTTGCCATGGTTACCAGCGTGAAATTGAAGCTTCAGGTTATTGAGTCAAAATGGGGAAAAAGAGCATTCTTGAAAATGGTTTGGGGTTATTTTGTCAGCTTCGCATTCCGCCCGGAAGACAGACGACGTTCCAGAGTTATTTGGGCCATTTAAATCCAAAAACTAATAAGTTTAACAGTCCAAGATTCGGTACCTTAAAAGTTCCCAAAAATAAAACATACCACGGCTTTCATTGTGATTTGTTTGTGGTTTTTTTGTGGTCGAGTTTTTTCCAGTCACCGTTATGAAATTTCACATTTAAAAATCAATTAACGAAATCACTTCAATGATAAATCAAAAGCTGTTTTGATTCAGATGTCCAACTTTACTTTTCGGAACGGTAAAAACCTGAAGCCAACCTCTTACTGAAGTTATAAAACAAATCTCATACCAGGACCATGTTTTGATATACGGGTAACTTTTCAGAACTTATTAGTTATTGGTAGATAACGTATAAAAAGATGCAAAAGCATATTCTGTTTTCATTAGGGTGAAAACCATGAGTGTATCTTATAACTTCAATTTGATTAGTTTTGTCGTCGGCAAGAAAGTACAGTTTTGTTCACAAGGGTCGTTTTAATTTTGCTACACCCAAAAGAAAGAAAGACAGGCGGTTGCTGCTAAAGTAGTGTAGAATGTTCCAACCATAGTAATTTTTAAAAATTCTCATTGAAGAAAAATACCCTATAATTCATTCACTAATTTCAAGGATGGCGAAGTTATTGTTCCAACTTTCCTTACGAAAGTAACGAAATATTTGTGCTCCGGTGGGTTTTTTCTTCAGACAAATTTCGAATTTTGGCCTAAGCAAATTAAACCGTTTTTGTACATCAGTCAAAAAGTATTGTTGTCCTAATCTTACATCTGATCTGAAACGCTTTTTTACCTGTGATTATTTTTCATAAAGTTATAAGGGTTTAAAGACTGCCATGTTGGCCAATTTGCCATATTTCGGGCTATTAACGCGTAAGCGGTCCTTCTTAAAAAAATTGTTGCAAATTGGGCGAAGGAAGCTCATTTGCCATAATTGATTTGTTACTAGGAGCGAAATCTATCACTTTGTACTTAATATGACGCGTGTGGGGATGAATTTCACGAAAACTCAAAATTTACCTGTTTATTTTTTGTTTTTTTTTTAATAGAAAAAAGCATCATTTTTTTAAAAGCGAATACTGCTTTACAGACATTAAAAGACTGTCGGAACATTCACGGCTTTGTCCTAAGATACGAGCAGTCTTGTTATTATAGTGATTTCAGCAAAATTATATATTTTTTAAAGGCGTAGCATTTCAACAAAAAGTAATACAAATCATCTCTTCGCTGCTTTTATTTACCTAAACAGAGAAAGGGCCAAAAAATTCCAGTGCAACTCTAATCACAATTGACAGCATTGTTTAATAATTGAAACTCAAGTGTAACATTTTCTCCTAACTTTTGATGGTCGGGCAAGTTTTATTTTGTGGGAAAGAACACATTAATATAAATTTGTTCCCATTACGCCTCGTCTTTTTTCTTTTTGGAATATGTTAATATTGTTGTTCCCGATGTTCGATCTTCCGTTTTCTGTGCTGATGTCATCAGCTGGTCTGTGTGAGCTGGCGCTGCTTCGGGAGTTTGTATGAGACATTTTGGGGGAAAAACTAACTCAGTAATTTTAACTAATGCCTAAAAATCATGAAGATCAAAAATTCATTTACCAATGTTGATTATAACTTTATAACCCGGTTTTATAGCTCCAGTTATTGATTGATTCTAAGTCAGAATAAAAAAGTTCAAATTGTTTTGAGCAATTTGAATCTAAGTGAGCGCCTGTTTATTCTTCTCTGCTCGAAGTTTAGAAGCGTTTTATCTAGACAACATGGCAAAACTTCTATGCACACATAATCAGAGTTTCAGGAACTTTTTTTAAACAAATCTTGATTAAGAAGAGTGCTAAATACTTGACTTTTTTGAATACCTCGAACGGGAATTGGTTTCTAAAAAATTACTCGGAAATGGACCAACTTTCAGTTCGAAACTTACTGGTTCATTTGAGATCTCGTGTTCTGGATCCCCCTATTGTATCTACTAAAGAATTTCCACCCCTGTAAATAAAAACAGTAAATTCAAACTAAAGCATTGTGGTGAATTCGAGTTTTGCTGCAACCTGATTGATCGAAAAATTGCTGCAAGTAATCTACTTAACAATCTCCCCCCTTTCTTGAAAGGGGGGAGATTGTTTAGTAGATCCCGTTTTTTTTTCACGGTAAAGATGTTTTCTTCAGATTGTTTGATAAATTATGGGATAACTCTATTGAAATTTTTTTGAATACAGTGTTTTTAGGATCTATTGGGCAAAAAATTGTAGGCAGGGCCAAAACTGACCAGAGGTTTTGAAATAACTCAACTTTGCAAAATTGCTTTTTTTGAATTCTTTAAAACATGCAACACAAAATCTGAAACAACAAGTTTACGTTGTTTGAATGGTTTCTCGAAAATCGATAAAAACACCCGGACTCAGCTTTGCAAAAATGGTTGAAACTGTGACTTCAATCACATTCGAGGAAGTTTTCTGGTAAATTTCGGCTGATTTTGGCAATAATTTTGGGATAATAATTTTTTGAGTCTTGAGCCCTGAATTTCGTTAATGGAATTTTATTCGACCATTAAAATGTTCAAATTGTATGTTTAAAGCAAATTGAGGCCTCCCTCAAAAAATAAAAAACGATGCTTTTATACGACGCTTACAAATTAGAAAAAACCATTTTCATGGTGTGAGCAAAATTTTTTTCAGAGTTGAAGTGAAGTTATAAAGGTAGTTTAAAAAGCTCCTAATTAGCTGAACCATTTCACTCTTCTAAGATAAAAGTGAAATCGAAATTACTATCCACAACACATCTATTGCTTCACCTTGAGATAATTTTTTCTTAAAAGTTTTTTTTGAGCATTAAAATTTTTTAAAATGAAAGTAATTAAAATTTTCGAAAATGTTTAAAAAACTAACTGAGAACCCAATCAGCTTCTGCTTTTTCAGAAATTTCTTTTTTGAAAACTATGCTATGGGACAGCGTTTGATTACTGCGAGTAAGAGTTGAAATTTAAAAACTCATTACGAGATCAAACGATTTCAATAGATTATAAAAAATTGAATAGATTATAAAAAATTAAAGCATTATACAATTCTATGAACGGGTTTTATTTAAAAACTGCATGTCGTTTGATTCCTTTTTTCAGAAAAGGTATGATTAAATTCTTCAAAAAAATATGAGAAGTTTGTCCAAAAATTTTTTTAGGTAAAATTAAATGAGCTTAGATCAGGTTTTATTTGAATAAGATTTTGAAGGTCATCAAAGATAAAAATTTTAAAAATGGAATAAAAATTGGTTGTCATACAATTTTCGTTATTCAAAAAGCATAGTTTCAACAAAAAAAATTGGAAACTGAGAAAAAATTTTCAGTTCTCAACTTAGTCGCTAAACCACTGTCATGAACACAAAAACTTCTCTTATTTTTTTCGCTGTATTTTTTTTTCAGTTTTTGATTATAACGTAGTCCACGCTAAATTAATCAAGGGTCACATTGAAGGTTCTCTTTGATGACAGAATAAGTATTTTTTAGATTTGAATTCATGACATATATTCTGAATCTGTCGAAAAAACATGCCACCTGTTTTAAAATCAGTTTTTCAAAATAGAGGCCTCGTAGCCATATACTAAAAATTACGTTTTTCTGTTATAATTTTGAATGAAATTCATTTTTTAATTGACTTGGCATGAAGTAATAAGTTAAAGTATCTGCGATTAAATGCAGTTTTACCTGTTGGTTTGCTCCCATGAGAAAGA